TACATAAAAGCGTAACTATCCAAAGAATTATTTAACGCTCGACAGGATTACCGCGGAAGTACGAATTGCAGATGTCTTTTACTTGAGGCAGATTCATTCACAAAAACTCATGAATGAAAATTTAGACAATAATTCAACTTGAGTGGACGCAATTTAAAACGCAGTGTCAATGAATGAAAGTTTTTCCTCTTAAATAATTCCATGGTTCCCACATGACGGTTATAGCCAATCCTATTTGCTCAATGTTATGCAAGACGTTGCAAAAAAAAAAAACAACTCGGGAGCTAATCTAATGAATGAGTTGTATTTTTCAATGGACGAAAATTGACGCTTCTTCAGTGACTGTCACTTTTACAAAAGAGAATTTCCGCCCTTTTTGCTTGAGTATAATTTGTATGACGAAATCGAAAAAGTTGGCCATCGTCTGCCAGATGACAGTGTTTGTATATCCCATTCATGTAAGTCTCGATTTCTTCTCGCAGTCTTTCACCTGGCACCGAGATTCACATGGTCCAATATTTGAAATTTGAATGAGTTTGACATTAACCAAAGACACAGAGAAGCCAGTTTTAAGGGTTCTTTTTAAGTGTTTGTTCAATTAAGATTACAGCTTTACTTTTAAAGTGATTTTATCGTTCTATACCTCAAGAGGTTCAACGTATCACATATCAGTTTCAACCATTTTCCACAAAGACTAATTTGCAGACCAAGAAGCCGGGACTCATACTAGTATTTGGAACATCTCGCCCTTTACCGAAAAAATGACGGAAATAGTCGGAAGTTGCGATTGACAGTACTTTTCCGGATTTGTTGACTTTGAATTTGAAGACTGATCTAAAAGAAAAAAAAATAACATTCATGCGTTGATAACTCAAAACGTAGGGTGGTAACCACCATTTTTTCATCATTTTTTATTATAATGTTCTTCTTCAATCGTACAAAGTTTAAGAAAAATCTTCGTTCCAGCTCTTTGCCTTTAAATAAAAAATTGCACTACTCCCGTTTTATGAATACCAATATACATATATTTAAACATTAATATCAAATTAACGTGTCATTAAATAACGTAATTGATTTTATGAATACCCTTTTTCGGGCATGAAATATCAAATGTTAGTGTGAATACAGAATGTGAAGTGAGTCATGGTGTAAGTTACGAAGTCGATTTTTAAATGTTCGTCTTGTAGATAAACGTAACAGATGGTTAAGTTGAAGGTATATCCCACGGTATATATTTGGTTATTTTTCTACTTTACCCGCTTTGCAGCTGTCGTCCAAAATATTTCCTGTTCTTTTAAAAGTGTGGGAATGTACGTTTTTTTATTATTTATATTTGACCTGTGGTTTGTTAATGTATTTAGATTATAAACATCTGTATCAATGTTACTCAAAAAGTTTTGTTTTTTTACCAAAAAAGAAAATGAAGGAAAATGAAGTAAATCGTTAAGTCTGTCTACATGATAGTTAATTATGCCAGCAGTGTATATATGCATCAGTATAATTTAAATGATTATCAGAACAACAACAACAACAACGGATTTCAAAACCATTACCATATGAATCTATTATTTTAATCGTAGTATTTACTACTTATGAACTTGCATTTTGTAATTAATGTTAAATATGCTTCAGGAAATTAAAGTTCCGGTTCTAAAGTGCATTTCTTTAATTATATTACATGCATAAATGGGTGGAAAAAACTCTCATCAGTTTTATGCATCTTTAATATTGCACGAGCGCGCGGCGAGCAACGTGCACTTGAAATAAAACCTTTATTTAAATCATAGAAAAGAATGGGACAATTTTGTTTTGGCGTGTCGACTTTCATGTTTTTTTCTAGCATTCATTATAGCACCATTAAGGAAAAACGCGGATTCATAATGGAGGTCACGTGACTTATCGAACAATCGCACGTGCAACAAAATTTTGAATACGAATCAAACAGGGGGTCATGTGACCACTTTAATTACAAGAAAAGTGAAAAATGGCTCAAAAGTATAATAATTGTAATTATGCAATTATTTATAAAGGAAGCGTCCGTTATGAATGTAAATTATTGTACTGGTATCCACATGGTCTTTTCTCCGTCTAAATTTGTGTTCGTCTTTGTTAGCGTTTGTGTCAATATAACGTCAACAAAAGTTGATCTTTATGTCAGATTTTTTTTCCTAACAAAAGACAACATATCGGAGATAACTTTTTACCTTGGTTATGTACACAATTATTTATCATTATACATATATTATATTTTTTAACTTGAAATTTATTGGTAATTTAACTGATATTTTATCCACGTGAAATAAGATAACAGGTACGAAAAAAAAAAGAGATTCTCGTTTCTGACACCTGACATGAAACTTAAGTTTAAACAATATTCCATTTCTATTTATACAACATAAATACATACATATACAATGAAACTTCGCACTAAGAAGTCATGTATATGTTTTCTGTTTTCGCTTAATTAAAGGCCCATTATGCTACCTAAATTGTATCATTCTTATTTCCCAAAAAGTTTTTATTTTTAATTTTGTATCTTGTTACAGTTTCTAAAAGATATATACTCATTGGCCATATAGATGAACTATCTTTTGCTTCTTTTACTCTTAGGCAATTGGTATACTTTTAGTGATTAAAAATTGTCAGTGCTATTTTCTTCAGCTGTTCAAAATTTAATTTTATACTCTTAATCGTTATTAATACATTATTTATTACATGTTTGTCCTTTGTAAAGTATAAAAACATTATTGATTCTAAGGCATAATGTGATTTTAAAGAAGTTGTATAAAAACTTGTTAAATATATCGAATACAAAGTTCAACAATTCCTGGCAAAGATTGAGAAAGAGGCATTTTCCGTTGTGTTAGTTAACGCAGTATGTAAATCTTATAACTATGACACTTTTATTGGAGTCTGAAAACTTACATGAAAAAATATAAAAAGTGAAGACATATTTTTACCATATGTGGTATAAACAAAATATGGTTTATTTTAAACCTGACAGTTATTATCCAAATTATGTACACTGTATTAGGAAGACAAGAAGTAATATGTATAATTAGTGTCAAGTTGCATTTAGCTGTGAAGAAAGTTAATAAACTGTATTCCAGGCTCGTTTTAATGAGATAATTTACAGCAAGGGGCGTATATAATAGCCATATATATTCAAAACGAATACTACCATCTGTTACAACAATGTGTCATACTAAATGGTTGCGACGCGGAGTGATACTATATAGATGTCACGCGCGGAATGTAGTCCCGCTGTGTGTCAAACACCTTGTGCACATTAATCCATTTGTTGGTCGTATTGTCGGAATAATAAAGATTTACGTTTTATTGTACATGTCAAAAGATATGAATTAATTTCTACAGTGTCAGTTAACAGTTAAAATGTTTTGATAATATGGAGATTTGCTCTAACATTTTCCCACCTGTTGCTGAAAAAGTTAATTTCGAACATACGGATTTCAATTTCCAAAAACGTGTTGCCGATTTTTTTCTTGATAATTCTGTACATGTATAATTTCAATTAGTTTCATCTAACACTACCATTTAAACATTCTCAACTACCTTGATTAAAAACTTGTTTCTATAAAGCCTTAAGCGAAAAAAAAAGATAATAATACTAGTAAATAACAATAAGAATAATGAAAAACAAAAGATATTTTTATAATATTTTCTTAGACACACCTTTCTCAGTTTTTAAGTAGTTTTTACGCCGTAATGTTATATTCAAAACTATTCTGTTTTCTCGAAAATTTTCCAAGAAAAAAAATCCTGTTCAGATTTTTGTCAATTTTCTTTTATACGAAACATTACTTCATGAGGAAAGACAGTGTTTAGTGCATTTTGGCGGACTACAATATAAGTTATATACAAAAATTTCTAAACGCGTTACTTAGTGAACTGCATTTGGTGTAATCAAGACGGAAATCAATTTATCTCCCCCCTTTTTTCACAAACAGATTTCATTATAACTCTACCTTAAAATGTTTTAACAAGTTCGCAATCTTGTTCTCGTTATTCTAATACGTTTGTATTATTCATGTTGTGAAAAGACAACTGAGTTTAGGGCCTGTCTTCTTCTTCTTTTTTAAAGAAAATAAATAAAATTACATGCATAAATGTACAAAAGTGTTTCTTTTTAGGGTCATATACATGTATATGTGCACGAAGGGTTAAAATACGAGTTCTCGATGCTTGCAGCATACATTTTTAAGGGACTGTGTTGCCCTCACAAGGTGAAGGGTTCTGTGTTTCACAATTTGATTGAAGTTTCTATCATGCAAACTCAACTGAAGCCAGGAACGCAAAATCGTGACATTTAATTAGTTTATCAAATTGTTTACCTGTAAAAAATATATATGAAAGTAAAACAAGTGGCTGTCAACATTGAAAGTCCGAAATTTAATATATTAACCGTGTTAATATCGCATTGCTAGCTGAATATTAACCCGCGGATTATAGTTTTAGTTTAATAAATCATACATCGTAAACCGTTTCCGTTTTGTTTTCCCTCGAAAATGACCATCTGGACTGGTCTTGTTTATTTCCTACAAGGTTTTCAGCTCATTTCGAATTATGATAACTGCACCCTGACATTTTATTGACTTCTTTTGTGTGAAATATTTCATCTATTTTATAACGGACAATACTGTTCAGCCCCATCTCCTGTTGCGATGGAATAAAATTGCCAATATTCCCATTATTGGTTAAAATGACACTTCGTCAATTTTCGCGCTACATTATTCCGTTAGGAAAGTAGTCCGCCAGTCCGCCTTGACACCGCTTTCCCACGGTATATCGAGATTTATTGGGATTTAGTTTTTTCTGCATTTTAGTTCACTGATAAATGGTAGATATATACTACAACATATGTGCGTATTAAGTAATGATTTGACAATATATACACCCTTTTTTCCAACAAAAATGCATACTTAAAAGAACTACATTTCGCTATACATCATTTCACGCGGAAGAATTCGTCATCTTCTGTACTTCGCCGGATACGAAGTTAATGAATGGTGTATAACAGTCAGCTGTGACAGATGGAAAGTCAGTAATCATTTAACATTTGACAGAGAACATTGAGCAAAAAATTAGTGGACACTTAAAGTGTTTTTATACTTAATTTGGATATTTACTACATTCTTAAAAGGTAAGGACATTTTATTTACAAATATATAACAGAAGTGTTAACACCGGGTGTGGTAGGAAATTAATTCTATTTATACTACTTATAATAATCCATTTAATTTCAGAATTTTATGTTTTATTTATGATCAACAGTAGTTAAATAAAAAAAATATTTCATATTACGTTTCAATTTATTGTATTCATTGTCATATGGTAATTGATCTATGTAAACCAGCGTGTAGGTGAGGCGACTTTACAAAGTGATTTTCAAAATGACTCTGATTTTAGCGAACTTTATTACGTCTTCATTACATTATTGGTTTAAATCGGAACTAATTAAAAATATCTTCATGTCAATTTAATAAAAATGTGTTTACATATAACTATATAGAACAGAATAGAGAATGAAGACTGAAAAAGATGCTAATTAATATATTTCGTGTGAATTATGGTTAACAAATATCTAAAAGGGATGATTTCAGCTTATTTTTTATGCATTGAAAGATTTTTATTTCTCTCTCAGAAATTTCCAAAAGTGTTATTGGACAGCAACGTCACCCGTGTCAATATAGAAATTGAATTTTTTTATGAAATTCGGTATATTTGCAGTGACAAAATATCTTGAAGTGTTGTCTTGCTTATTACAAAATAAAATTTAATATATATTTCGACATCAATTAACATTTGAACTTTCAAGATTCTTCTTAGGTGAGACACAATACAGTGATTTCGATCATCTAAAAATATTTTAAATGTTTTTATTTGTATTTGTCATGTGTACATGTATTTATTTAATTACTTCATATAACGAAACTATAATTTGTTAACGTTACTTAATAGAGTCTTGAAATTTTTTATTAACTGCTGTTTAATTGAAAATTTTATAATTCTTTTCCACAGAAATGACGAAATTACTTTCAATCACGAAACCAAAGTCGTCTGCACAAATTGTTGCCAAGCAACACATGAAGAAGCATCTGAAGAGAATTCGGAATAAAGAATACAGTCGTCTGCGAGACATGGTACCTGCTATTGCCAAGAAACAAAATATATCTAAGGTAAGTTTAAAAAAATCCTGGTTAATCGTTTAATCATTTACTGAATGGCCTGAGAGCGAAAACTTTAAGTTTAGGTTTGTGAAATCTTTTTGGGGCTGCTTAACCTGACTGTTTTTTCTTCCTTGCGTCATTTTTGTGGCGGAAAAAACTTGAATATTTCATTATTTGTTTAGATGAGCGGGATAAGCTGCTCTGAATGTTCAAAATAAATTAAATGAATGATGAATTAGAGAAAAAAGTGTGATACATCTGTCAATGTGTGTAAGAGGTATTTAAGTGGTACTTGAACATAGTATAGTGACACATTGCAGGGGCGGTAACGTGCATGTCACGTTCTAAGGCGTTTTCACGTGCGTTTTGAAGTGTTCGTGCTCAAGTATTTTTTGCAATTTTTATTTTTTTTTCTTAAACGATATTTTTGAGATGCCAGAAATATCTAGGTTTTTTTTATAATTTGGCACTACATTTTATAGAATCAGATCTTTGATAAGAAAGCCATTGACTAGTAAACGAACGTAAAAAAATACTTGCAAGTTGACGCAGTTGAAGAAATGAAAAAAAAAAAGAAAAGAAGAAGTTAAGACATTTTCGGTTCATAGAAAAGATTAAGAGCAAATGCAAATTAAAGATAATTATTTATACGGACCAAATCATCTGAAGTTTATATAATCCAGCAACAATCTATTACCAGGCAATATAGTACTTTCACGATGACACTATTTTTGGATAAACAGCTGTTCTGTCCTAAACAATAAACGTTTTATTCATTTCAGTAGTTTAACAGGTGTTTACTGAATAATTGTGAAACTCGTAAAATCATTTTGTGCGAGTGATTTAAAGCAGACGGCAAATCAGTTGCCATATACTTGTACACTTTTTCCACACCGAGTGCTAAAATCTGCGTTTTTCCCGCCAAAAATAATATCGTCATACACATGTTTCAGCCCATGAGTTGATGTAATTAAGTGATCACAATAGTGATTTAGTAGTGATAGTTTGATAACCGACAATTAAAAGCTAATCAGTTTAGAAAACCAAGTTACATCAAAGGCACGTGTGTTGATATTTTGTGCAGATATGGAATTTTCATGGGTAAGGATCGCGCTGAAATGTATAAAATTGCAATATAATAGCAAATTTAATTTGATAAAAAATCTGATCGTGCGTTTTAATAAACAACGCGATTATGAAAACTACAGTATTATCTGACCAGATCTTTCAGATTTAACGCAATGATTTCTTATTTTACTCAATTATTCATTTACGGCGTTTTGAACACCCGGGTTAAACTGTAATCAACATAGAAAAAAGAAAAAAAAACTGAATCTTTCTTTCTCCTAGATTTTCAATTATTCAATTTTCCAAATGATGGATTGCCCGTACAAACACCAAATAATAATCTACCCAGTAATGCTATTTTGCTAACCACAAACGCGAGTGAAGTCATTGTTGCCCACGAACAGTGTCTTATAACGCAAGAAATGCTTCACATTTCAAAAGTATCGATTTCTCAATGGAATGAAGAAAATTAATGATTTAATTTCGAATTACAAAACCAGATTGACGGAAAGGAAATTTCTGACGCAGATAATGACCACTTTATTCACGAAGTTGTGTCTTGTCTTTAAGTCAATTTTCAAACTTTCACAACAAACGAAATATCAGGACTGAGACTTGTTCACTAGGGCTACTGATAGGAGTTTTTCTCCTGATGAGAGATAAAAACAGAGATTTGTAATACGGATTTAAATATAGTTAGTGATAAAAATACAGAGGAAAAAAACTGACTTTGCATGTCCGACTTGTTTAAACCTGAGATAGAAAAGGATGTGTTCAAACCGATTTTAAAGACTGTGATTAAATCGAAATGAAAAGAAATTCTTAAAATTCCGGTTCATGAGAATGTTTACTATTTGTGCAACAGATGGGCAAACTTTGAGCGCTATTATACACTTACACAAATTAAACTATACAGCCTTCACGTTTTATTGCTGTAAAAACTTTCAAAATCGCTTTTATTGAAAATTTATCTTAAGATTTTATCAGTGGATAAGGGTTGTATTTGTCATGGTTTAATATTGACTCTTTATTTAGTATTTGCGGTTTAAGATTAAATATTCACGTCATGATGTCAAAGTTATTAGTCGAGGTGATCTTTAACCTCGTAAAGGTAACATGTGCGCCGCTTTAATTGCCGCCTTTACCTAAATGTACGGGATACCACTAGTCGGTTAAACGGGCACAATATTTGATATATCCCACATTAAGGCTCGGACAATGTGCGTAATTGTTCATTTTGAATTCCTGCAGCATATGTCCTATGTCAAGGGGCGGGAAAGATCCGATCTTGTGTAGCATTTCCACAAAAATGCAAACAGATGTCATATATCAAAATGAAGATCACAAAAAATTGGTGTTTTGCCTAAATATATACGTGATGTGTTTAAGTACCACCTGTCTAACAGCTAAATGATATATTAAACTTATCACTGCACCTACGAAATCCAGTCAAGCAGTCTAATTTGAAAATAATTTGAAAATAAACATACCGACATTAAACTGTTCTCCCGACAACGGTTCTCTAAAAGCGGTGTTTTCAGATTATTTAAATTTTCCCCTTCTTTTCACAAATCTATTTTTTTTTATTTCAGGTTACAGTTATTGAGGAAGCCGTGCGATACATAGATGAGCTGCATAGAGCACTTGCAAGCAGACTCACAAACACAGGTAAGCCCGGATTTCTACATTTGTGCTATTTCTTGTTACTGTCATATTATAACACTGGCCAATGGTCATAATCCATAGTGATCCCTCCTGTACAATTAACCAATAAAGGGACATGTCTACAGCATTTATTAAATCAATATTGGTGCTTAACAGTCTATTCTTATGGGTTCTGGGATCTGAAACATAAAGGGTTACTCGTTAATAAGAATTATATCGATAGGGGACGTGTGCCTTTGATTTGACTTTTCTCCAATTTCAATTGTTCCCAAGTAACCATATGCTGGGAGGCACACCGCGCCCTCAGATTATTTCTTTAACTTCAAATTTGACAATCTGCTTAAAGGAATACTTAAACTTTCATCAAAATCATGTGCTACATTCGGAAAGGATCCTATTTATTGTTCCACCACTCCTTTTTATGGGTCTTTGGTGTAATAATATTTGTTGTAGAATTGACCGCATTAATATGTCGCGTGCTTTCAGCGTGTCGCGTGTCATAATGCGCGTGACACGACTCACGCCATCTGGCTCGTGAAGTTAGAGCCCGATATTGTTTCTACATTACAGAAGTTGATCTTACAATATTTTGAATAATTAAGCTTTTAAATACTTTAGAGTAGAGATAATATTTACATAACTTTATTTTATCATTCTTAATTTTTTCATTTCTTCTTATTTTACCTTAGAAATCAGCAGTTCCCAAGGCAACGCAGATATTCTTAAGGATCTCGTGCACAGCTTTATACCGACAGACTTTTATGAGAGAAGAGCGCCACCTTCAGTAGACTTCGAAAAGCAACAAAAGGTGCCAAGTTATCTTAGTAGAAGTAAACGGCCTGCAAGATTCGTTTAAGGTAAGTTTCATATAAACTATATTTATACACATTTAATTTAACAATATACATTTAACGAAAGAAATAGTATTGTACATGTATACAATACTACATACATGCCGTCTTGCATGCTTTATTTATTTATTTATTTGTTGTTTATTTGGGTAATGCTTTTTCAGTAGCAATATCTTAAAAAACATCGTGTGTATACATAGTTAAGTAGAAAATTATTTTAAGTAAAAAAACTATGAATTTAATATTTGGAAAATTGTGTGTTTCTGAGATTGGTAAATTAACACCTAGTAAAACGTTTCTTTTATTATTTATTTTAGTGAGTTCCATTAGTTTTCCTGTGATATTGTGCAATAAGCGTCTCTGTGATAAAAATTCAACAGACCAGCAATATATGGACCGGGTTGAACACCACCATATTTGAATAAAATGGCAACCATTATATAGAACTTTTTTATACACATCATTGGACCAAAAATACCGCCTTTATGTAGATGGGATACAACATCGAAGCCCTTAAACCAACATTTTTATCAGGTATGCTTATTTCGTGTATATATTTTGAATAAATTTTGAGTAAACTCATTTTTTTAAAACAGTTTTATAATAGTTAATACAATTGTACTAAAAAAGTCATTTAGTAATAACGTAAGTATAGCAAAGTTATTGCCTTTCGTATTTAAGCAAAAGGCAGAGGCATCATTTTTTTCTTCATTTTAACAGATTAGAATCAACCTGCAATTAAATTTCTTATAATTATATTATTGTGCTATAAATGCATTAAAATAGGTATGATATCCTTTGAAAAGCTTTTACTGAACATTTTCACTCATGACTTTTTTCTCTTCTTTCAGATATTTCTTAACCTGCCTTATAGGTTGATTATCAGCAGACTATTTCGAAGCAGATTTTGTGACGTCATTGATTAAAACAAAGAACAGTTGACGATTATCAACCCAACAGCAGTGACATTTTTGTTTTGTGAATTTGCTTTGAAAAATGAAAATATTTTTTCTTTTATAAATATTGGTGTGTCATAGACATTGCAACAATGGTATTTTGTATCTTAATAATGGCAGACTTTATGCTATAGATTAAAGTCTACTAAAAGTTATTCTAAATCAAGTAGTGCGTATAGACGCAAGTAACTTGAAACATTTCAAAGGTCTGTGATATTTCTTTTTGTACTTTCAAATAAATTTGTATCAAATCATTCTATTTGTTTTTATTCTATTACATTTTGTTGACCTGAAGTGATTTCCATATTAAATTAACAAAACTATATTTGGCCACCATCTAGAGAAAAGGTTACAATTCGCATCTTACTTAAATCTCAAATGTCAAATTTAAAGATTCACAATGAAAAATTTAAAGATAACCTATGCCCCTAATAGTCGATTTAAGAGTCATTGAAAGTCGCTTTTGTGATTAAACCCAACGCGTGGAAAATATTCAAATATCAAGAATGAAAGTTGATAGTATCTCAAGATGTTGTATGTTAAACCTCTTTATCTATTTATAATCAAACGGAATAATTCATGATCAGGTGATATGGCGGTTTTGTAAAAAGTTGATTCTTTTTTTTCGGGCTGGAAACTAATCGACTAAAAGTTGTATTTATGCACGTAGACAATGAACAATTTGCATTCTTAAGATAAAAAAGTAAAAGGTCAACCTTTAGGCCATTCAGGGCGGTATGTTAACTCTTCATACCTGAGGTTTAATTCTCCTCGAAAAAAAGTAACAAATTGTACCTTGTTCACATCAAAGGAAAATAGCTTTTAAAACCGCCGTGAGAAAAAAGTTTCTTTTATTTGTTGTACACGTTAGGAGGGAAACGGTCACTTATACTGGGTAACAGCTCACGTGTTTAAATAAAGCAAGAGACTCTTTACACGTGGACAGAATAAGAACGTTTTGAAATATCTATTTAACCATTAGAATCTAATTGATCGCCTGCAAGTAACCAATGAGATCAAAATGAGAGACTCGTGATATGTTTTATTTATAGTAATAAAGATCTTGAAAATACTATTGCATTATATTGGCCTTCATTTCATATACATGCATTAGAAATACATGTAATTGTGAAGAACATGCTTGCAAAATTTGTATTACAAGACTTTATTAAGTTAATAATTGCCAAGAGAAAATGCAATATAATGTTGATAGTGAACAAGTATCACAGAAAAAAATCACAATATTGGACAAAAAGTACTTATTGTTCTCACAAAGGTAAAGAAAAATATGATAAAATCATGAAGAATTTTTAGTTTTCGTTTCGAGCATACAATTGCAAAGTCTGTTTACTATATACAAACTAAATATAACGTCTCCCTTTCGTCTTCTAAAATGTTTAATGTATCTAAAGAAAGTAACAGATTAAAATGTTCAAATTAATCCTTTCAAAGAATCCGAATAAAAATATCTTACTTTACTTGCATCTGCATTCTACAGGCCAGTTCTTTTGTATCAGAAGTTAAAGCTTTAGTCTGGCCGTTTGAATTTATATATAAATTGCTAGCAGAACGCATAAAAGTCCTTGTTAATCTCTAATATTTATAATCTGTCTTTTGTAAACTGTATCGCCGTTTGGTGAGCTGGTGCCAGACGGAAGTAATGCCAATCTTGTAACGTCTGCTGCAGCTTCTTCCGGTGACCTCGCTTCCACTCCACCTAAACATCCGCTCTCGTCTAGATGGGTTTTCATTTGTTCTGTTGCGGTCCATCCCGGACAACAAGCGTTCACGAGGATATTCCTACGCTGATCTGACTTCAAGTCTCTTGCCAAAGCATATACAAATACATTTAAAAGAACGCTGATTGACTCTAAAATTCGGTCTGGCCAACCGTACTCGGACCAAACTTTTGCCTTAATGGCGGCCAGGTATTTGTCTGCTAGTTTATCAAGATCGAACATAGTAACCTTATCCAAATCAATTTGTTTTCTAAGTTCTTTGCCGAGACTGCTCAGTTTACCAAGTTCACTTGAAAGCATAACAACACGGGCGTGTGGTCTAAGCAACGGAAGAAAATATCTGATTAAGCTCATAGTTCCCTTAAAATTTGTCTGTATGCTAAGTTCTGCTTGTCTGTACATTGACAGTGGAGAGTCTTTCTCGAACACAGTACCTGCATTATTGACCAACACATCAATTCCTCCATAGTTTTCACGTATAAAGTCCACAAACATTCGTATACTAGCAGACTGTGTTACGTCTAGTTCATGCCAGACTGGTTTAAGGCCTTCTGCTGCCAGTTTCTTACACGCGCTTTGACCCTTGGCAGTATCTCTTCCGGTTACTATGACATCACCGGGGAAGTCGTAGAGTAATTGCCTGGCAACTTGGAAACCAATACCACGGTTTGCACCGGTAACAATTGCGACCTTCTTAACCATCTCTGAAAAAAATAATGCTAAAACAATATATTATCAGAAATTATAATTGAAGAAGTGGGAGTCCAATTTTCCACCGTACTATATAACTATGAAACAGCCTCGTGAAAAAACACAACTGTTTATAAATACTTCATTTAACATGGATGTAAGCAGTAAGGGGTCAATATTATTATTGAAAACAGTTTTGAAAATAGAAGCTGGTGACAGAGATATATGTTTGGAGATTTAGCAAGCAGATTAAGACTAGATTAGGTGGATTAAATGTCGTATTTCAACGTTAAGTATATACGGATAAATCTAGTGAGAGTGCCTTAGTACTTGCGCCAATTACAGCTAGGTATGGAATTAATATGACATGTTTGTCTCAGTCTGGTGTGCAAATTGCTAAGCTTATAATGTTAAGGTAAGGAAAGATTAAGTATTGGGAAGAAACGAAACCGTACCTAAATTTTATTTAAAACAGCAATGATATTTTATTCCTATCTGATAAGAAAGAAAGTTGAATTACATGTATAGGGATAACAGTTTTATCATATGTTAATGACAGGTGGACAGTATTCAAAAATCCCTTGATCTCCCACAAAAAATGACATTATCATCGCCAGCCAGGCAACCCCACTAACTTCCTTCCGTTTAGAGGTAAAGCATTGAGACCATAGGCTTCCTCTTATCATTCTATTTATATTGACTTTTTAGCAAGTAATTTAGCGTTTTTACTAAATTAGTAATATAGCCTCCCTTCAATTTAACATGCAGTTATCTCCCTTACGCTATGTTTTTCAATAGAGCTGTAGGGCAATGCGTAACATAATTTGATCGGGTATCAATTCAGCTTTATTAGCATACCCGCAAGTTCTCTATATCTTATACATTATTGAATACATGCTTTGTAATTGAAAGTGTAAATACAATGTATATTTACGTAGTCATGAACACACACCGAATTATTATTATTGATTTATTAATTTTGAAACATAAAAACCAAAATAAACCTGTACAAAATCATAGCTTGAATTCAGAAATGATTAATTTTTCATTTTTGTTCGTTAGTGATGCTAAAATTAGTTAAATGGAGTAATAAACTTTTTCTAAGACTGAAATTTTATAATAACCTGATATGAACCGGATCTTTGCAGAAAAAGGACTTTTATATGCCAAATCTTCTCGACCTAGCTGGTCTCAAACCATGACTAATATTGCCAATTACGTTACCACGAGAGTAATAAAGCTACTTATATGTTACACTGATACGTCCATAGCTCGTTACCTACAGCATACGTATATACACATGGAATATCTTAGTTCACGTGCAGGCATTCTCACCTTAACCAAACCGCTTGAAATATAGATATACGTAATATATAAAAACATATCTCGAGTTAAATACACTGTTTTGTTATCAAATAGATATATTTTTAATTTGTAAACAAGTAGTAAATATTTCTCTCACCTTGTATCACTATGAATGTCTGCAATGTTTTCAATACTTCAACTCTGATCTGTGTATTGATCACTGGATATCGATTATCCGCATGTAGATTTAAACCAAAACTAGGAAAAACAAATACGGTGTATACCTTAAATCGCTCGCACCTCTCACCAAGTCCGTTTAAAGTGTTCTCCTATTATTTTAATAGCTTAAAGTTTTATAGAACACTTTGAATTATAGATAGTGCAGGCTTCTTCTCAATGTCTTATTATATTACTTATGTTATATATTTGGACAAGGGTTTTGAAAGATTTGTGTCTATAAACTTTGGAAAAAAAGAAAGCATGTCGCGTTCACCTCACATGAGAAAATACTGTAAGAGCAAAACGACGAACTAAACTAGTTATAAGGGTAACAAAATAAAAAATTTCTCTGTAAAAAGGAATAGCTTCTAGAAATACAAGCAAGGGAGATTATTGAAAATAACGGATACCCCTGTATAACGTAAAAGCATGTTAAAACATTTAAAGATCCTATTTCTCAAATTTTTTTTATAGCTTTATATCATAAATATGATGCTCAAATGAAGATTTATCAATATTGTAAGTTCCAAAAAGCATTATTTGTAAAGATATTACCGAATTTACATTTCATGTAAATAAAGGGAGGTAATTAGAAATTTATTTTTGATAAAGTCTAAGCCAAATTTTTCAATAAGAAATGAATGCATATATTTTAATGATTACTTATAATGCGTGTAAACATTTGCAGTACATATTTAACATATTCTTGGATGTTTGGAAATTGTTTTAGAAGAATAATTATATACATATATAAAATTTCACTTAAGTGTTGTGACATCCTTATAATTACAACATACATGGCCTTTATTAAGATACTGGTTTTACCGCTATATGATGCACTTTTCAAGGAAAAAAAGTATATTTAATAAAATCGGTTGACATGAATCACAAACACACGAAACATCAAAGCAAATAATAAAGTAAATAATTTTCTCAATAAGGAATCGATCGAGGTGCTGCATTATTACAATATATGATCTAAACTTGCTTTGAACGGCTTAGAACCAACAATAAGCCTCGACATATCATCCTTATATATAAAGAACTTCACGTCTTGTTTTAAAAAAAAAATCTTCATGTCTTGTTTTTGAGAAGCCAATTCATGAGTAGCATCTCAAAATGACCAACCCATGACAGCTAAAATTTACTATAAAACATACTCTGATGGAAAACATTTACGGGGATATAACTGATAGCTTTAATTGGGTCAAGGGTTTCTTAATTATCTGAAGCCAAAGTCTTTCAAATACAATGTACAGTAACTGGAAGACTCCGCTAGAGATTATTATAAGGGTTGTCCTTTGGAGCCGAAACCGCCATCCGGATATTCGGATCAGTGATAGGATACATCCGGTTGTCTGATCGTTGTTTTGTTCTTAGTAAGCTTGTTTTATTCTTAGTAAGCTGATATGATAATAAGTTATTATGATAAAAGATACGTTGTATTTCATCAATTATCAGTTAGCTTCTATAGTAATAATATTGATGATGATAAGTATTGTTAACTTTTATCAAACTATAGTCTCAAGTTAAGATCAAAGGGGTACGGCTCATTGAATGTTCACAAAATATGTATTTGATGGTAGAAAACATTTATCCTAAGTCAGAAATGAATTCTAAGTCCATTCCCATTACACTATATACTAATATATAGACAAGGGTAACAACTCCCATAAGAAGGTGTCTATGCCCAATCAGGGTTTTTGCCTCGCAGTTTTTTACACGATACAGCATATTTAAAAAGGAATTATGCTATTTGTAGTCGAATGATTTATCTATCGAACCAATGTAAAACTTTTCTTATATCTCTTATATTTAACGAGTACTGGCCGTCAAAGTAACAAAAAACTGTTCATTTTCGCGAGGTCGACATCGATCGTGGCTACGCAGGAAACACAAAGTTACACGACTGTTGCAATCGTTGGAGATAAAATCACAAGCATTTATCATGCTGGGCAATTTAAAATACATAAAAGTAATCAAAATATACCAATAAACTATAATGACAATGTGATATAAACTCACCTGCGGCTTCAAAATATTTCCCCGTTGAAATTTCTATAAAACACCGCCATCTTGACGAATGTAAACAACCGTCATCCGATTGGTCGGTATTTTTCGGAAATTTACGGGTATATTTTCGGGAAATAAATCGACCAATCGGACGACGGTTGTTTACATTCGTCAAGATGGCGGTGTTTTATAGAAATTTCAACGGGGAAATATTTTGAAGCCGCAGGTGAGTTTATATCACATTGTCATTATAGTTTATTGGTATATTTTGATTACTTTTATGTATTTTAAATTGCCCAGCATGATAAATGCTTGTGATTTTATCTCCAACGATTGCAACAGTCGTGTAACTTTGTGTTTCCTGCGTAGCCACGATCGATGTCGACCTCGCGAAAATGAACAGTTTTTTGTTACTTTGACGGCCAGTACTCGTTTAATATAAGAGATATAAGAAAAGTTTTACATTGGTTCGATAGATAAATCATTCGACTACAAATAGCATAATTCCTTTTTAAATATGCTGTATCGTGTAAAAAACTGCGAGGCAAAAACCCTGATTGGGCATAGACACCTTCTTATGGGAGTTGTTACCCTTGTCTATATATTAGTATATAGTGTAATGGGAATGGACTTAGAATTCATTTCTGACTTAGGATAAATGTTTTCTACCATCAAATACATATTTTGTGAACATTCAATGAGCCGTACCCCTTTGAATGATCCTCGTGGGGAATGCTACAACACTGATCGAGACAATCAGGGGCATATTTTTTTTACAAAGCTCTGATTATATTAGCTAAAGAAAATGGTTTACATAAAACATCTTAAATTATTTCTTCCTATCATCAAAGACATAAAATTGCCCATTAAAACGCCCATTATGTCCCAAAAATGCTTTTTTTTCCTCGAAAGCTTTTCATTAATGATGTCTAGTTTCCTAAAAAAAAGTATTCATTCGCCAATAAGTCGAAACATCTAGCTGTTGCGTCTTAAATGATTTGGTACTTTGTGTGGGAATCAATATACTACTTTGTTTACATTTGCTGCTTTTATGCATAATAACTTCACATTTAGCGCTACTTTCTTCTAATGATAAACGTCTAAAATGCTTTAAACCTATGAAACTCTAAAAAGAACATTTCTGAAGCATATTGTTTTCAGATATATTTTTAACTTTCAACTTTCCCGATCTTCATCATGTATTCCACCCCTTCCAAAATAAATCGAATATAATGTCTGATAATAAACGTAAAAGATTTTTGCTGCCGACAAATACTAAATTTTATCAACTTCCGGTAAACAACAACAACAACAATTGAAAGTAGTTATTTTTTATCATTTTTCTTTGAATTAACACGAACATGTTTTAATTTGAACATATAATATAATTGTGAGTTTGAGTGTATCTTTGTTAGAAGACGGTTATTTCCATTAAATTTGTTGCGTCATTGTATGAAATCCATTCAAAGTAACCCTGTAGTCGGATAAGCATCTGTTTAACTGATATTAATCATAATTAATGTAGAGTGCTACTATTCTGTTTGGAAACTAATGTACGCGATAAGAATCAGTGATATGTATTTTGGAAATAAGCAAAAAGTTTAGCTGACTAGAAATTTCATACAATTACAGGGAATTTCCCTGGATTTTTTTTAAGCGCTACAATTTTTGAATTAGACGGGGTGGGTGACGGGAGGGGGCCAGGGTTCCCTCTGGGTCAAAATTAGTTTGCGCCACCAAATTCGCCAATCAGAAAAAGTTGGAGCCAATAATTCCTGCAAGGGAGGCATGCCTATCTTTGCTAAGATATGCTAGCAGTTATATAATATGAAATCAGGTGCTACCTATGGCGCGGAAAGCTCTTATGATTATGATTTAAGCATAACATGTTTAGTGTACATGTTAACCAGATCTATCATGCAATTCGTTAATAAGTAAATTCAGGTATTTTGTACCGTAAACATAAATATAATAAATTGGTGGTGTTCAACCTATCATCGGGGGAGAGGGACCACTGCGCTAATCTGGTTCCCTGACCTATTATGGTTCCCATCCAAGAATACTTTTTTCCATACCTTTTAGAAGTTCGCAGGGGACCAGTCTACCACTGCGCAAGCGTCGGCGTCTGCCATTTTCTGTTAATCTCTAATCACATATGTTGTTTTTACGTCATTTTTAATGCACTAATTTATCAAAAAGGATTTAAAAGTAACTGTTTACATTTAACATCGTTACTATAGTTCTTATGAATGAAATGAATGTTCATTTTCTGATGTTGTACATCATTCTTTCACCGGAAGTGTTATTTAGCGTGCGTCTGCTAGCAATAGTCTGAATTATGTAGACGCTCATTTAAAACGCTGTGATATCTATATTTAGCTCAAAAGGATTTCAATATGGCGGCGCCCAGTTAACTAAGGATTTTTTCACAGCTCATTAGGTATAGGATATATATTTTTTTGAAATTTTCATTTACTTCTAATTTGATTTCATTTGAATTGATACGCGTCATACATGTTATCTAAGAGCACTACAGCCCTCGCGGGGCCTTTGGCCCCGCTCGGACTTTCCGCGTATCATTATGATTACAAACACATATTTATAATATTTCATTTTATTACAGCTGCACATGTTTATTATCTAAAATATAGACATACTATTATGTGGTTTTCAAATTCTATTTAAATGAATACACATGACAGCATAAATGTAATCAAGAACATCATGTTAAGTTAGTCATCCTGTTTTCCACCGTTTTGCCAGTATAGCAGTTCTTCTCACAGGCTGGACTGAGCCAAGATCTTTCACAGCTTCTACCCGACAATCTGGTGATCTACAGATACAAAATAAAAAAAACAAAACATTACTATAAATTGACTTCATCTAAAAATCAATGAGAACAAAATATGAAATAGATACTAAGTATTTTTAACAATGAAAAATATTGTTTATTTTAATAGGGTTTGCATATGAATAGACACTTCAGCCCTTTACAATCAGATATGAAAATATTAGCATTGCAGTAACAGTGGCTTTAGATCAATCATTAGTGAAATTATTCTTTTAATTGTCATCCGATTTAATATTCAAACTGTAATTATTTGAGTCAACTTACCTAAAGTTTAAGGTTTGTCAACATCACGGACGATCTTTCACTTCTCTGTTCGCTACTAACACCTGTTGACCACACATGTAATTATCAGTGCTCCAAGTCGTAAATTGTTCCAATTAACAAATTACCACTCTCATCTTCACATGTTCCCAAAGTGTCACACAATTGATGACATAATTGATTATACGGTACCGATAAATAAACTAATAGCGCGTGACCTTTCACATTTGGGCTGCTTATGTAATTGACGTGGCCGCTTATGACATTTAAGTGTACTAGTTGTCGGATGCTTTTATCTTACGTTGGCGCCAGTAAAATTCGCCAATTAAAGATTTTATGCGCCAGAATTAATATTTGGTCTCATTTGGCGCCATTGGCGAGCGACAGCGGGAACCCTGCGGGGGTCGTGACCCCCATACCGCGTGTCGAAAATTTGCCATTTTAGGTGTCAAGATACTGCTGTGGGCTGTTTTAAAACAAATAATGAAAGCTTTTCACTTGATTAACATTTTCTTAATTTTTATTATTTACTTTTCCATTTCCAACAATTCAAATAAATAAACAATTATATATAAACACAAGTTCACAACATGTGATCAACATTTATATGTATGTGTGTGTCCCATTTAAATGAGTATATTTCAGTTGTTTTTTCTTCATTAACATCATGTCTTCTAGGTTTGTTGTCATTCCATGCCTTGACTGCCTTCTCAAAGTTGAAAGATTCTGTAGAAAGGTTGCCAGTAATCCAGGTCATGGTCTGGTCGGCTGACTGATCAGTCTTCTCTAGACTGGCACGTACCTGGTGTCAGTGGCTGCGGCACTGCTCCATATCTACACCAATTTTGCCTGGCCAGCTCCTGTATGTCCTAACAAACAAATGCTAAGGAGTAGGACAGTAGATTGCACTTCACAAAGGTGTCCATGAACATGCTCGATTAAAGAGGGCCTGCAAAATTAATATTTTTTTCATTTTGGGGATTCAGTGAACAGAAACAGATTACAAGATATTTTTAATTAAAAAAGAAAATGACCAATTCAATGGCTGTCACTAAGTGGGATTGTTGATGTAAAATTTTTGTTGTTGTTTTCACTCAGTTGCAAGTTGATAATGAACAGTCGTAAATGTTTTCTATGTAAAAGTAGCCATCAACCAAATTTATATCTGAATATCTATGCAGTAAAATCCAAGTAAAATACGATTATCATGTATATATTAAAAAGCAAAATGATCCGGAGACAGTTTCAACGACATTGTTCACAAAAAAAACTCTTAAAATTGATAGTGAACTAGGCTGCTTAGACGTAACGATCATAAGAAAGTGAAAGATGAAATTGAACATTACACTTATATCAAGACAATTAACCCATTCATCCCTAAATATCAAACTGTTATATCGCATGTCAATTAATGCCAATAATATTATCAAAACAATTAAAGTTATTACACCTACCTGAAGCAAGTAAATATCACACATGCCGCGGTTAAATTGCATCCATCTTAATACACTGTAATTGACAACACCTGAAAGTGCACCAACAGTCGTCTGCAGACATCGATGACAGGTGTCTGTGACGTCACACAGTCTAAAAGCAATCAGTGTATCGGGTTGTGTATACGCCTCGGGTAATTATCTACACGGGACATGTATATTGGCTTGTATATTTGTCTAATTGGGGTTAACTTATATACACAATAGAAAGGAATATCGGTCATTTTTTAAAGCGCTATGATAATTTTAAGCGCATCAGGATTTCTTGTTCTGAAATTTTAGCGCATCGGTGCCGATGCGCTAAAAGCGCCTGGGGAATTCCCTGAATTAATAACTGGAAACAAATGTGATTCATGTTATCATTTAATATTTTCTTTTGTATGAATTGATGCATATGAATATTTATAACTAGTGTCTGTGGAGGTCTAGTATAAAGGCCCATGCTAGGGTTGTTAGTCAGATTTTTTTTATCGTTAAGATTGACATTGAAATAAAATAGACAGGGTTAATCGGTTATTTTATATGAACGCGGAGAGCCATACTCATCAGTTACAAACAGTTAGCCTACATGCACTGTACATGTTAGCTTTACTACATTTTAATTGTAAATCACAAAAAAGGAATATGCAAACTTGTGTTCATAGAAGATTTTACTAGATATAATGAAAATATCATTTTTCAATTAGTCCTTAAAAGTTGATAAATGACAGTTTTATTTATTTTAGGTAAAAACTAATTATGGGTTACAGGGGCGTAAGTAGGCGTACTCCTGTACGCCCGTGAGTACAAATCAATCCTGTGTTCCAAATAATCACATGCGCTAAAAGTTCTAAAAAAGTGATAAAAACGTAGGGGGTAGTGTGGTCGGGGCACATACAGGCCTACTGACTCTTTCGACTTAATCATTATATAAATATTTCATAACATTTACAGTATAAATTAATATCTTTTGAAATGATCTATATTGTGATACATTGTACAGATTCAACGGAGGAAAGTTATGAAAAGCTTAAGGTGTCTTGTTCAGAACCTATTCGTGGCCGAGATATTCCCCTATCATTGGCTTGGTGGCCTGTTTTTGCGCAACGTGCTTATTCGGCGCGCAGGTCGCCCGCAATATTTTTTCCCAAACTTTTTACTATTCCCGTAATGCCCCTTTTGTGTCCTCTTCTGCTTTTGGTTGGGTGCCTTCTGGGTGCCCTGCTGGTTTGGCTGGATTGTGTAGGGGGCTGATGTCTGCCAACGTACCCTTGAATGTTTGATTTTTAATCTCATCTTTTAATCAGAAAACAAGTAACAAATTGGTGTAATTTCTCAATGGCATATTAATCAAATGATTGACAGAATTACTTTGCCGTGCCAAAAAGGGCAGAAAAATACAAAGAATGTACACTTCCTTCTCAATTTTATGCAGTTATTTAAAAGAATAGTAATATTCTAAAATAAGTTGTTGAGATTAAATTTATTATTCTCTGTGGTCAGCAAAACATTGCGATGAGTCATCAAGAAAGTTACATCATTATTAAAGTCGTACATGCATATATCTGCTTATGAATTTACTTTATCACAAACGGTCTTAAATGAGTCCTTTAATTTATTCACATGATCCACATAATCTATGTTATATGCAACAATTTTTAATTAATTTACTGACATTTCTGAAAGGAGATTTTGAAATATCTTTGCATGTAATATAACGTGTAATATAACGCGTTTTTTTCTTTATACATGTATTGTAATGTAATGAAATATTTAACAGTCCAAAACAGTCACTGAACTTAATCACAATTTTCACACCATTATAGTTCTTAAATTAATATATTGTTACAACAGTTGCTACTTATGAAGGTGCAAAATGACAGTCTTTCCTCAGAGAGCATTGGGGCATTGTGTGAATATACTCATATTTGTCGAGAGTCTCAGCGTTAGCTGTGGCTTATGTGATGGACTAACGTGAATTTGACAATTCCGTCCAGCAGACCCTGCTTTTCTAAAGAAAGCAAGGCTCTGTACCCAAACATGACATATAATCAGTTCAATTAAAACAAACGCTTGCTTTAGTTTTCGACGTTTCTAGCGTTTTTTTAATTTAAAATGTACTGAATACGGGAGATTTGTTGCTAAAACATCAGTTTGAAAGTCGCAAAATGACATTTTTTCTGCAAAAAATTGATTATAAATATAAAAAAAGTTCTATGGTATATGTAACGTACTTGTTCATTTTACCTATTTTAAAATTAACAAAAAGTGTTTAAAATCATTACCAATATGTTGTCAATATAGCCTCTAGATAGTCACAAAATGCCAGGATATCGCTTCCTCTTTCAAAAAAAATTCTCGGGGAGCATGCCCCCGAACCCCCCTAGTTAAGGAGTACATACCAAAATAGCTCAGTTACGCCCCTGGGTTAAATTTAAACATTACAATCAGTTTGGGGGTTAGTCTTGATGTTTCTCGGGGTACCTGTAGGTAATAGACTGACCCAGTAATGTTTATAATAGTTTCCACATTGAAATAACTAGTTCAACTCTACACTTATATTCACCTAATCATTTAGTTCCAATAAATGGTACAGATGTTACTGTTTATTTACTGTTTAACATTTTAGAGATACAAAGAATAATGTAAATTGTAATTGTTATCCTTACCAAAGTTTAAGTTCTATCCATTGGTGTATTTTATATGTGTTCATAAATCATATGATAATTTTTATAGTAGGTGAATTTTCTTTTTCAGATTAAAAGCAACAGTGAGAATTCATAAGATAAGAAATTAGCAAAAGATTATGTAATAGAATATAACTAACAATATAATTTTGCTGATAAAAACAGCTTCACAGGGTGTGTCTCAGACAAGCAGTATGGCTGCCACAGCCCAAACAATTAGAAAAGTGGAAAAAAATAAAGTGAGTTTTGTGTGTCAAAGATGTAAACAGCCTCTCAAGATAGACCCATCATTCGGGACCATAGATCAACAAAATGAACTAGTTAAAGAACTTACAGGTATTGAAATAAGTTAATCATTTAAGCTCTTCCTTATCTTGCCTTGAGGTTATATAACTTTGTTTCCAAACTATGTCTTACTCTTGAACCTCAGGATTTTCATTGGTCAGTGTCTCTCATTGGTGTCTCAGTTTCAGATCAATCAAATATGCAAGTTCTAAGTTTTAAAGTTGATGAAATTTCTTTATAGATATGGATTTTGGTCATGTAGTATGTACTAATTGTATAGTACCCAAATCTTTAAAACTAGCATTAATATATGCTAGAAATTTGTTTATTTTTTTCTTTATTTAATTTAAAAAGACAACATTATTTCTTGATCAATATAAAAAACAATAAATATGTTGCTTTTCCCCAAGTTTTTACTATTTAGTTTTACACGTTTCAGAGTAAAAACTTGTGTGTTTTACAAGTACTGTAAACTCAATTCAATAAGTGCAAAAGTTTTCACATACATATGTATATATTGTGCGATGACTTGTTAATAATAAGTGTATAATTTGCAAATTCATTTAAACTGCATTATCTTTTTGTCATATTTTTAGCACCTCTCATAGCTCAAGCAGGAAGAGAAGAAACTTTTGGTCATGAGAAGGTTTGTAATTTATATGTAACGCCATCTTGTGTAAACCAGGCATAATTGTTGGCATACTTGTTATGTGTGCCTTTCACTGTACAGTCAGCCCATATCCCTACAGGTGATAAATATAATTATCAGAATCAGCACCCATGGGTTTCGTTGATGCTGTAAAAAATGTACGGGACTAAATTATCTTCTGTCAAGTTCTTACAGTAATACACACTTTATTATTATATAGATTTTGTGTTGTACATACTTCGATATTAGTTAAGTGGCTTTACAGAGTAACAATAGTATTAGTCAGTTTAGTATGCACAGCTTAAACTAGGATAGATTTTTTGCATTTGTTCTCAATTTGCATAATACTCAACTACAGTACTGTTTTAGATGCCCAAATTATTAAGTTGGCACAGATAAGAAAAAAACTTCTTTTTTTGCAGCCATGTGATATTGGTTTTATGGTGTTGGTATTTTTATTGTTTTTAGGTTGAGAAGTATGAAGAGGATGGAAACATCTCTAAAAGAACAGTTCAACCAAGGTAAGGCTATACCATAGTTTCAACATTATTCATTTAAGCTTGTAAAGAAAGCTTTCAGCATATTTGAACAACTTTGGGGTTTTTTTTCCGTGAACTAACCAGCATTGGTATCGTATGAGCAAATATGGTCGTGACCCCTGTGCTTAAGGGCTCAAATCCACAATCTCTTTACTCCTCTTTCAGGCTATACCTCAATTGTATTATAATTAGTAATGTTTGTTTCATTTAGTCTGTATTAAAATTCCCTGCTATTTGGGTAAGTTCTTTGTATGGTTGCTTTATTCAAGAGTTCCTTTGGTCAAAAGTCTAAGGATGCCTCCTTATAGTCACTTTGTTCTCACTGCTGTGAGTTTAAACATGGGAAGGTTACAGAAGTTCATGGTTGTATACAGATTTCAGCTTGTACTTTAAAAGCTGAAAAGTCATTGGGGGACACCATATTGCAGTCATTTAATTTAACATTTTGAATTTACTGGTTGAATTCCAGTTTTGAATTTATTCTACCATATATTTAACTAAATTTTCTTAAAATTTACACTGGCCCGAACTAATTTTCACTGGCCATGGGCCACTGGGCCAGTGCTAAATTTGATGACTGATATTGCCTTAACAAGGTGACTTAAAACACAGAAATGGGTCATGGGCCTTATGATGTTCATAAATATTTACTTTGGAGCAGGTTTTTCAGGTCTAAATGAATATGAATACATGTTAATAATTTTTATGGTATAAAGCTTTTTGGTGTATCTTTGATTGGTAGAAGATTTGGATAGATCAAAATAAAAAAATGATGTTTGTATATTCAGATGAATCTATTGACACATGTACGTATTCAACACAAAACATACTATAATAACAGTTTAATGTTTTGTTGGGGAATTTTTTCTTTTCTTTCTTTATACATGTATGTTTTATTAAATAAAAGCATTTTACACAGCTGTTTCCAGAATGAGACCGTAAGGACATATATGTAACAATGTGATTATACAGATTTTCATGCTCCCCGAAAAATTTCTGTCGGTCAGTCATCCGTCTGTATGTACATCCCGAATTCGTGTCCGGCCTATAACTTCATTATTTGAAGTTGGATTTTACAACTACTTTCACAGAATTGATCACCATATTGTGACGACTTGTCGCGCGCAACATTTGGGTCGCTACCTTGAAGGTCAAGGTCACAGCATGACCTTGCAGCAAAATCGTGTCAGGCCCATAACTTCGTAATTTGAAGTCAGATTTTACAACTATTTCACTGAAATGATCACCATATTGAGACAACGTGTCGCAAGCAATATTTGGGTCGCTACATTCGTACCTTGAAGGTCAAGGTCACAGCATGACCTTGCAGTAAAATGGTGTCCGGCCCATAACTTTTATTATTTGAAATCGGATTTTAAAACTATTTCACAGATATGATCACGATATTGAGACGACGTGTTGCAGGCAGCATTTGGGGCACTACCTTAAAGGTCAAGGTCACTGCATGACCTTGCAGCAAAATTGTGTCTGGCCCATAACTTTTGTTATTTGAAATCGAATATTAAAACTATTTCACAGATATGATCACCATATTGAGACGATGTGTTTCGGGCATCATTTGGGTCGCTACCTTGAAGGTCAAGGTCACAGCATGACCTTGCAGCAAAATCGTATCTGGCCCATAACTTCGTTATTTGAAGTCGGATTTTACAACTATTTCACAGAAATGATCACCATATTGAGACGACGTGCCGCTCGCAACATTTGGGTTGTTTTTACACTTTGAACTTTGTCTGTGACATAACTCTGACACTATAAGAGGTATACCTTCCTGTGTCCAAACCTATTTGGGGAGCATCACCCAGTTCAACGGCTCTTGTTTAAGGGAAAAATAATTGCACCAGTTATTACTTTATGCCTGTTTTAATTCCTATATAAACGTTTACTTCATGTAATTTTAGGTACTCATTAGAGGAAGACACCAATGGTTTTACGTTGCTTGGTGAGACTGCACCATCTAGTATGGGAAACCTCGGACATAAACCAAAGGTACACTTTCTCCGCATTAACTATAACGTCTAGAAGATTTTACATGTGCTATTTGAACAATGATAATTATTATCAAGAATTGAAATGAAAATTCAGTCAGGTTTTCAATTCAAACTATCAATTACAAATGTTATATTTTAGTTTACATTGTATCACACACTGTGCTGCTTTTGCAAAAGTTAGTGTTACACTATAGGTGCATCAATTAAAAAGTGAATCTTTTTCACTGTAAACAGTTATAATTTTGGATATGTGATAATAGAATATTATATTTGTGTAGATTCAATTATAAATTTATTGAACTTGTTGAATAAAACAATATTACGCTCACCAGACACTAGCACAATACAATGTATGATTTATTTCAACTCGTTCAATTTAGTATTGAACCCACACTTATTTAATATCCTCTATATATTTATTGTAACTATTTGATTGTTTATGAACTGTTGCAGGTGAAGGCAGTTTTGTTTGATATTATGACAGGGCAGTCAACAGTGGACCATCCATTATGTGAGGTAAATTAAATGCTTGTTATCTGTAATTTACCATATTGTATCTGAAAATAAGCAATACCATTTCATAGGAATGAATATTTAGTTATACTCAGAGTGGTATTTTTTCTGATGAAATTGATTATTTTATCATCAGTAATTAAATACTGTATGAGTGGGTATTTCTGCATGTTGAAATGTTAGTGAATTTAAAATTCCAGACATTTCTCATGAGGAAATATTAGCAAGTTATGCAAGGGTAAAATTTAATGATAGCTTGATTGCTTGATATTTATGCTAGAGGAAATTCTAGCGATTTTTGTCATTTCACAAAATTTGCAATTATTTTCGCATAGCTAACTTAACAACCTATACAGTTTGTTCCTTAGAAACATATAACGCATATGGCAAGTGTGTAAAAGGTACATACAGTTTACACACTATGACTTTAACATACTTGCTCATACACATAGTATGTTAATTGTTTACACATGATTATATATATTTCAACAGTTAACCTATATAAAAATATATTCCAGGAATGTACAGATACTTTACTTAACCAGTTAGATGATCAACTTAAAATTACTGAGGAAGAATGTAGAGATTATAGGTATGATACAGGAAATAAATTGTCATTAAATTGTTATTTAATTGTCATTTAGTTGTCATTTCAGTCAGATTTATATTATATATCTAAATTTATAGTTGCTAGTGGAAATCCTTTATTTTTGATCATGCATAAAAAGTGATCATCATTTTATATGCTAGAGAACAGATATCCTCTGTTCCAGTTGTAATAAATGATTCAGTTATCCTATTATCACTATGAAATTCTTAAATGGACTTGTCCATCTTTCAATTTGGACAATAACACACTTCATTTTTAAGGAAAATTTCAAAATATGTACATCTTTGTGTACTTAACACTGAACAATGCAGACCATGATGTTAGTTGACTCTGGTCGGTCACATGGTCATTGTTACCAGTCAGAAGTCTACTGGTAAATATGTAAAGATGAGTACCTCAACATTGGATCTCAGTTATTTCAGTCTCGTATAAAGGGACATCCATGATTTTATTATCTGTTGGAAGTTGGTCATACTTGCAACCTCTGTATTTATAGTCAGTGATAACACTTTGCCAATCACAATTTTAAGTAGACCAAGAGCTTTTTTCTTCTCATATTTACAGGATACAAATGTCTTTGATATAATAGCTTTTGTTTAAAGTTTTGCAAGCAACATCAATTTTGAAAACATGATTTTGTTTGTTTTAGAAATTTTCTAGACAAATTGGAGAGTAATGAGGAGATAGAAGATGATGCGGCCTTAGATGATGAACTTCAGAAGGTATGTGATTTGTTTTATTGTAAACTCTCAAGTTATTTAAATAATAGAGCCTTTTGTATTCTCAAAATGCTTATTGTGAGGGAATTTTCGAGTTTTGATTCACCCATACAGGCAGGAACTCTTTAAATTTTTATATACATGTTCCCCTTTAATTGTTTAACACTAGAATCACAAGTAGAGAACTAGGGCAGCTTAAACATCCCGGCAAGTTTAACCAGTCTCTTAATTTTTAGCATACTCAATAAAAGAATTACAATTTTACATAGTATACCAATATGCCACAAATACTGACAACTGTTAGGAAATGCATGAATAGTCAGTTTCTCTCATTTATTATAGGTCATTTATTTCACCTGAAATAAATGAGACACATTGTAATTTGAAGACAAAGGTCTTTGCAATAAGTTCAAGGTCACTAAAGCAACAGTCAAAATCAAATGTGCCATCAATATTCAATGAAATAATGAAATATGCAGAATAAATGATATTCAGAAAAGGATGTTATTTACTGAAATGGTTTTAGTTTATTTGCCAAGTTCTGTTTAAATCGGCAACCTATCAATTAATCTGGAGATTTATAAAGCATAATTTTGTTGTTGTAGTTGAAAGCGGAGGAAGAAGTTCTGAGACAGCAGTTAAAGCAGGTAGAACGAGAACAGAAGCAGATTATTAGTGACATTCAGAAAGAAAAAGACACAACTAAAAAATTTGAGGATGAAGAAGAACGGTAAATGTTGCTGTTATTAAAATACATTCAAATACAAATTTTACTAACATATCTGTACAAGGTTTACCAGTAGAATTGCATTTGTTTTTGTGAAAACAGTCTTTACCAATGGCCAGAATGTGAATATTCATAATATTGAAGTTGTTTATCTTAGACTGCTAAATTTATGTAATGGATTTTCCTTGTTTTGAATTTGAACATTTCATTTGAATATTAAAGGATATCAAATACATATGTTAGATATACCAACAATATATATGGTCAGGTCACATGCAGACTGGTCCAGCTATATATGGTAAATTTCTAATAATTTTCAGTTCCAGTAGATAAAGGGTTAAATGAAACAAAAATAAGACTTTGTCTCATTCTAATTTGTTTAGCAAAAAGCACAGGGAATCTGCATGTCAGAAGAAACCACTGGTGATTTATCCTTTATAAACCAATATGTTTGATCTTGGTTAACAACTATTGGTGTTGAATTATAGTGGAAGATCCATCCCTAGATTTGTAGTCAAACAGTTTTGCCACCATTGGCTCACAACTTTTGGTCATTTTACTGTATGGAAAAAAAATGAGTGTTAATCACTTGTATTAATTATTTCAAATTTAAATTTTTGTTTTGTGGTTCTGAACCATGTTATCGTTTGTACAGGAAACAAGACATTGACAAGAGCTAACATGTAGTTTGAATATAGAAGTGGGGTTATTAGAACTTTACAGGTTGTAAAGTTTTGATATGACACTGGTATTGTTAGGTTTACATAACATAAATTGAAAGTATGAATATACACTAGGTGATAGGTTTGAAATATTTGTTTATTTCTACAGATATTGGAGGGAATACAATGAGTATAAGAGACAAGTTCAGGAGCTGGATGATGAACAAAAAAGGTAATACTTTATATATGTATACACTTTTGTGACATGATGTTAACATTAACCCTGCCATATAATGGACTTGTCCTGCTCTGAATTTGGAACAGTCCATTTGTAGTTTCAAGGATGTTTGTGTCAAAATACTGTAAGTCCAAGTAAGAATGATTTAATATTTTGTATACAAGGCATACTTGTAATAAAACTTGATGTTTGCTACTTTATGACAATTTACTTCACATTTAATGCTGTTTTTTTCATGTGATAAGCATCTAAAATAAGCTTTAAATTAATTATGAAAACATAATAAAACACGGGTTTGCCTTTTCTTCTGAGAAATGGTGAAAAGTGCAGACCTTGATCAGAGCAATCTCCTATGCAGTGATCTCCCCTTATCTGTACAGAGATCTATGCCACCACGGTCCAATATATCAGAATTTCTGATATTTTATATTTTTAGCTTTTGAATTTAATTTTCATTATTTTGTACACTTTGTAAACTATAACGAACGTAGGTACGAAAAGTAAAAAATAAAACAGAAATAGAAAAATGACGTTAGATTTTCCATGTAACGGTCGATATTTACATTTGAATTTCGACGTTACGTCATGTGACTTTCATCATCATGTGACGTCTGCGAAGGCAGTTATTACAATCTGTTAAGGGAGGTAATCACTGTGAGGAGTTTGTGATCAGAGAGCACAGATATTCTGTCTGATTTTAGTCTACTCTTCGTGCATAAGAAGGAACAGTTTTCTGTCAGCAGACTAATGGTTAAAATTAGGATTTGTTAAATGACACATGTATTTGCTAATGATGAAATGTTTGTGTTGTATTATTTCAGTGTTGATAACCAATTGAAATATGCACAGGCTCAGCTCGACAGATTAAAGAAAACCAATGTTTTTAATGCAACTTTCCATATTTGGCACAGTGGCCATTTTGGAACCATTAATAATTTTCGACTTGGAAGATTACCAAGTGTACCAGTGAGTATAGCAGGTTAACCTGAACATACATGTAGAGTTAGTTGTTTCAACTTTCCTATTCATTTTATTTAACCCTTACCACACTAAATTTGTTAAAGGGACTTTATCTTTCAATATACACAAAACCATTTTTCAGTTTTCGGGAAAATTTCTTAATAGGTGTTGACTGAATAACAAACAGTGCAGACCATAATCTGTGATCAGGCAACATGGGTGTACCCACTAGTCTTGGTCTCCCCTGGTCATATAGGTAGATCCAGTAACTGCCATCAGATTAGAAATTATATCAAATATCAAGATCATACTAGTACATTATTTTTAAGCTGATAGCTCTTTTAAAAACTTTTGAAAAGGAATAGATAAAATTAATACTTTCATAGTAATACTGGTACAGATAAAAGTTTTTTATATTAAACTGACATTTTTATAAATCAGGTTGAGTGGAATGAGATAAATGCAGCATGGGGTCAGACAGTACTTCTTCTTCATTCACTTGCCAAAAAGATGAACCTTACATTCCAGAGGTATTAAATTGGTTATTTTAAACTCACCAAGTCAATTTATCATTCAAGAAAAACATTCTAAATCAGTTTCTGTAGTTACCTAAGATTTGGAGAGCGTTTTGATAAAGAAATAGGTTTATTACATGACAAAAAGTTGGCAGACAATATGAAAAACAGTGGCAGATAACAGTAGATAACATGAAAAAAAGTGGCAGATAACATGTAAAAAGTGGGAGATAACATAAAAAAGGTGCTAAAAAGGGCCAGATAACATGAAAATTTGCAAAATAAAAAAGACAAAAGTGGCTGATGCAAATCTAACATGATACTGAAAAGTGAATATTTTCCAAGCCATAGTTTTATTTCTTACATTTTCCTTATCATCTATAATCATTTCACTAGTTCACATTAATGAATAGTCACTTGACAAATCCTGAGATTGCTTGTAAATAATTATACAAATCGGGAAATTAGAAAAGAATTAAGTTTCTTGTTGCACCTATTGTATATATATTCTTGTGTTTGTAGATACAGACTTGTGCCATATGGAAACCATTCTTATCTAGAGTCACTTACAGACAAATCTAAGGAACTACCACTCTATGCATCAGGGGGATTCAGATTTTTCTGGGATGCAAAGTATGTTTGAAAAAGATTGTTACAAATGTTCATGATATATGTTCTTTATTGTTTCAGTACTGATACATTTGATACTTGATTAAATTGTTCATTTGGTTTATTGGTGGGTTCAAGAAATTAGAATAAAACATTATTTGACTTTCTATCAAGAAGTGCCAATAGTCATGGACACAAACTAAACCATCACTGAAAGAACATCACTGGCTGAGTGGTTAAGGTTGTTTGACTTCAAACTGCTTGCCCCTCACCACTATGGGTTGCCCCTCACCACTATGGGTTCAAATTCAAACAGGGGTTTTGGATTCTTTCATGTGTGGAAGTTATCCAGCTAGCTTTTAGAAAATTGGTGGTTCTACTCAGGTGCCCGTTTGCGCCTTAAATAATGAATTGAAGGGCACCCCCCGAGTTCTTTTTCTACCAGTAAAGCTGAAAAGTTGCAATATAACCTATACTGTGTTGGTGCAATGTAAAACCTAAATAAAAAACATCACCCGAAAGTAGTTAATACCAGTGACAACTGCAGTTTTAGTTTATCAATCAATGAAATAAATACTTTATTGTTGACTTTCATACAAGACATACTTTAAATGTTGTAGCATTTTTAGTTTAAATACTTTAGCAACGATTCTATTTTATCCAGATTTGATCAAGCAATGGTAGCATTTCTAGATTGCCTACAACAGGTAAATAAAACTTAATCTCTTATTTTTTGTGCCCACTCTTTCCATTTCAGCTTTGTCACAGACTTATTTTTGAATAATTGAAAAAAAAAAATCATTTATTGTAAACCCTGTACTGTAGAGACGACTTCTCTGTGTTGCTTTCATTTGTCCAGTCTAGCTTGTTCTTACATGTAGTCTCTGATCAGTCTATGCTGTTATCTTCTTAACACTAATCAAGCTAAATAGCTAAAAAAAACTTGTCCTTTCAATCTGCACAAGATGGTGTATCATTTTGAAGAAAATTTATTGACCAAATAGTAAACAATGCATACCATGATTAGATCACATGGGGTGACTGCTGATCTTGGTCTGAACTTGTTGCATATTTAAAATAGGTTACTATCAGAAGGTTAAGTTTCTTAATATCTTTTAATGAACTGTTCCAGTTTCAAAGAAGACCATTTCACAAAAGCATTTGAAGGGTTAAAGACATCTGCCAATGGCAGCGTCACAATTATTAAAGTCATTAGCACTAAACTAAATTTTTTTTGAGTTTACCATTTAAAATAATTGATTCGGAAATAATACAAATTAGGGACAGAAAGTATCAATTGTATCTGCTTGTTTATAGAACAATAATGTTTAAATATATTTTCTATATAGTTTCAAATGTTGTGTTTTCAGTTTAAAGAGGAGGTAGAGAAAGGAGATTCTCAGTTTTGTCTTCCGTATAAAATGGATAAAGGAAAGATTGAGGACACCAGTACTGGAACAACTTACTCCATAAAGTAAGACCTTCTTTACTATATTACGGTACTATAAAGTAAGACCTTCTTTACTATATTATGGTTCTATAAAGTAAGACCTTCTTTACTATATTACGGTACTATAAAGTAAGACCTTCTTTACTATATTATGGTTCTATAAAGTAAGACCTTCTTTACTATATTATGGTACTAAGTTTAATTTTGCATCATCACATTTGTGTTAAATGAAAGAGATTACAGTATAGTTTTTAGTACAGTTTTTTATGGCCCCCTTCAAAGAAGTGGCGGTATATTGGTCGGTACTATCCGTAGACCAAATGGTTTCCGATCAATAACTGAAGAATGCTTAGGCCTAGGAACTTCAAACTTGGTTTGGGCCAGAAGATGACTATTGTTTTTAGGGTCTTTAGGTAAAGGTCAAATTGACCTTGAATGTCAAAATGGTTTCCAATTGATAACTCAAAAACTCATGGGACTTTGCCCTTTAAACTTCATAGGTGCATTGGCCTAGGCCTGTAGATGACACATATTCATTTTTGGTCAATGTATCAAAGGTCAAGGTCATTAATTAGTCAGTAATTAGTTTCAGAGAGTTTTTAACCAGGTTTTCAACGAAAACCGGGTTATTGTAATGCCGAAGTCGGTGGGCGTCAACTTTTGGTTTCGGCTCAATAACTTTAGTTTGCTTTGGCCTTTTGACACCAAACTTGGTGTATGGGTAGGTTATATCAAGAGGCAGCTTGGGATTGCAACTTAGGTGTCAGTGGTCAAGGTCACCGAGACTAAAAATAGAAATTCAGTTTCTGCTCAATAACTTGGGTTTGCTTTGCCCTATTGACACCAAAGTTGGTGTATAGATAGCTTATATTAAGAGGCAGCTTGGCATTGCTACCCAGATGTCTGTGATCAAGGTCACTGTTACCAAAAATAGAAATTCAGTTTCCACTCAATAACTTGAGTTTGCTTTGGCCTATTGACACCAAACTTGGTGTATGGATAGCTTATATCAAGAGGCAGCTTGGGATTGCTACCCAGGTGTCTGTGATCAAGGTCAAGGTCACTAAAAATAGAAATACAGTTTCCGCTCAAAAGCTTGAGTTGCTTTGGCCTATTGACATCAAACTTGGTGTATAGATAGCTTATATCAAGAGGCAGCTTGGGATTGCTACCCAGGTGTCTGTGATCAAGGTAAAGGTCACTAAAAATAGAAATCCAGTTTCCGCTCAAAAACTTGAGTTGCTTTGGCCTATTGACATCAAACTTGGTGTATAGATAGCTTATATCAAGAGGCAGCTTGGGATTGCTACCCAGGTGTCTGTGATCAAGGTCACTGTAACTAAAAGTAGAAATTCAGTTTCCTCTCAATAACTTGAGTTTGCTTTGGCCTATTGACACCAAACTTGGTGTATGGATAGCTTATATCAAGAGGCAGGGTGGGATTGCTACCCAGCGTCTGTCATTAGGGTCAAGGTCACTGTTACTAAAAGAGAAATTCAGTTTCAGCTCAATAACTTGAGTTTGCTTTGGCCTATTGACACCAAACTTGGTGTATGGGTAGGTTATATCAAGAGGCAGCTTGGGATTGCTACCCAGGTGTCTGTGATCAAGGTTAATGTATTCAGTTTTCACATAATAACTAGAGTTTGCTTTGACCTTTTGACACCAAACTTGCTGTGTGGCAGCTTTGGATTGCCACTTAGATATCTGGGAGCAAGGTCAAGGTCATTTGCTTACAATAGAATTTTCAGTTTCTACTCAATAACTTCAGTGCACTTTGACCTATTGATTGCTGTCACATCAAAACTTGGTCGTTGAAAACCTGGTTTTCCTCGCATTGGGGCGCTTCTTGTTATGCATCATGGAATGGTGTTGCAACCATAATTTGTTCTGTACTTCATACTCAAAGGATCTAATAATTTACTTAAGAACAAATATAGAATATTTTATTTTGAAAGAATTTTTGTTTTACTGCACTTGATAAAATAGCCTAGCCATTAAATTTATTTATTTATTCTTTTCTTTTTCAGGATTCAGTTTAACTCAGAAGAACAATGGACAAAAGCCTTAAAATTTATGTTAACCAATTTGAAATGGGGACTGGCATGGGTGTCTTCACAGTTTGCTAACAAATGATTAACTTTGTTAAAAAAAGAAGAATGAAACACACAGTGCTATATGCCTTCAAAACATGTTCTGCAGTGCAGGATCACGTCCCAATGGTCTGGTTGTAATGAAAACTATATAAAAGATAATCAAAGACAAGTGATTTTAATGTATGATTGTAAATTATTAATGATTGCAAATTGATGAGGGCTTTAATGCCTTGTGATTTAAAGTGTCACTGCACGTTTTACAGCTGGCGCCACTTTTATTGACATAGAAAAAGACAAAACATGTTTTATGAATTGATTATATTCTCTATAAATAATTTTATCCGACACACAATGTCAAAAGCACTTGTCACTGGTGTTTGACAGATGAAAAATTTACATTGTAGAATTAGCCATGAAAATGGTGAATATTTTGTATCATTCTTTTGTATACAAACATAAATTATCCAACAAGCCTTTTCAGGTTTGAAAATGCATTTTTCTTAAAAATTATTGTGCAATAAATTAATGTATTTATTTTGTGTATTTATTTTGGGTGTTTCATTTCTTTCTGTGTTGACTTTTCCCACATCAAATCTCTGTTAGACAGTGTTCTACGAGTGTGTTTTGGAATGACGCATTTTCACCTTTCAGTTATAGAGATGACATGGTCTTCTTCAACAGTTAGCACAATACCCAATTAAAATATCATTTAATAGACCAACACTGTTAAAATGCTGAAGGTCCAGTTCTAGAACAATGCCCATGATTACTGAGCAGATAGGCTTCTTAAGTATTATTAAGAAAGGGAGGTGGTGGGCAGTATTGAAATGGTCTTTACATCCAGATACATCTAAAAATCAGCATGTCCAATTTTCTTTAATCTTGACTGGAATGTATATATTAAAAGGGAAACTAGGCTCATGTGTCATCAAAATCCACCTTTGGGATTTTTAGTTATGATCCTTTCTTATAAAAGGCTTTTATAACAAGGAAATTTTAAATTTGGTTGAAACCCAACATGAATATATTATGATGCTCATTTGTCTAAAGTATAAAAGTGCATTATCAATCTAAATTTTAATAGATCTGGACATATATTTCAACAAGATCACAGTATGCAATGTTAACACTTCTTTGTAAAAGGGCAAGCACTACCAATAACCAACTGCTGTAAATATAATAAGTTTAAAAGGGGCATAACTTTAAATGCCTTCAAGATAATGTCCTCTTGTCATAAGCAAGCATTCCCTGTTCATATTGATACATGTACCTTTAAAATTGAGTTAGTTAAGGGCTTCATTAAAATTTGTGCACGAAAATTCGATCCAAGTCCACGAGTGTTGTTGAATTATGGTCCTTTAGAACTTCTAAATGGCATTACATGAAATATTAATTTCCTAATGTTATTTATTCTCTTAAGAATGTCATTTTCTTAAAACTTCTTTTTTCTATACTGGCCGGAGAGATAACTCTCGACACATAGATAACCCCGACACAGGATATAGTTGTTATAACTTTGTTTTTCAACAAAAAAGCACATGGTCATCTAGTAGTATAGGAGCAGGACAGAATGGGATGATTTTTTTTTAAGTTTGTAAGTTTTTCAAATAAACTAGGCAAAAACTGCTTCACAGAATTACAACAAGGTAGTTAGAATTGTATCGACCACAGGCCCAAACTAGGGAAAGATTTTTGAAAATTTGTTTAAATATCAACAAAAAAATAGACAAAATGTGTAAGATGAAAAAATAAATTAAAGTAGCGACTTTATCTACTGTTGTGGGGTAAAAAGACCATGTTTTGTATACATCATTCAGGATCTGTAAGAAGTACCAGTTTCCATTTTCATACATAATTTTTGTGGTGGAATGCAAGGTCTTTGAACTGATCTTTGTTTAGGTGGTTCAATATTTAATATATATAGGAAGATAATTAAGATATTGCAAAAAAAATATATGAATTAGTGTCGTAGTTATCTCTCCAACCAGTACTGCTCAGTTATGTGGACTTTGCACCATTATAAATAGACACATAAAACCTTACATATTCTGGGGTACTTAATACTAATAAGCTTAAAGTGAATAGAATCATACAACTGGAATATCAATTCAACAAATCTGCCTGTATTTAGAGTAGTCTTTGGTTGTCCCCAGACTTGTTTAATGTTAACAACTTTTCAAATTTGTGTTTTACAATAGGGCAACACTTCTCCAATAAATGTATATAGTGCACTGTCTAAAGGGTATACGAAAAGGTATACAAGTCTACAACTTTGTATTGCATGCATCAATAGGAAAGGAGACCTTATTACATAATAATAAAGGCAGCAAAATAAAACAACAATAAATTTAAGTATATCACTCTTCACAAGTTTATTCAAGTCTGACATACTCAAATATACAAACATGGATTTGGAGTTCAATGAAATTCCTACCTTTTTCAAATTCCTTTGTTTATTTAACCTTTTAACAATTGTTTTAAGAATTACAAAAAAATTACAACAAAAATATCTTACAAGCACAATTGTTCCTACAGATAGTATACCTGTAATTTTGATGGCGAGATTTCTTTAACCATGGTTCATCAAAATGCAAGCATGGACTAGAGTTATCTTGCAACAGAAAAAAATAATTTAGTATGCAGTTAATGCCCTTGGTGCAATGTCATTCACCTCTCTGTGTGCAATGGAGGCTCTAGACAGGGCAAATGTTAATGTCTATAAAATATGTATACAAAAATGTGACCAGTCAGATAGCAGTAACCAAGGAGCGCCTAGGACAACTATAGAATCCTTTTTTTTTTCAAATCTAGTTTAAGAGGTTGAAAACATTACACTTAGCTTTCCTCTTTCTTTATTTCAATCAGCAGGATTCTATTATCAATTCAAAGAACTTTTGAACTTCATTAATTTGGTAATAGTATTTTGTAAAACTGTGCAAAATAACTGCAAATTTATAAGATGTATTTATGATGTATTCTTTGGCCAAAAACAAATTAAACAGAAAATTCAAGGATTCTGCAGTTGAAAACTTGATATGCAGCTCCAGTGTGCAATGGTCAAACAACTAACTGTCTATTTAAATTTCATGACTAAAATGAATATTGTTCATACAAAAACAAAATGAGAAAATCTAATGACTAAATATGAAACATTCTCACAATTCTCATCATAACTCTCTTTAAAAAACAAGAGCGATCAGTAATCACATGTGTCGCCTCATGATGGCCAATTTCATGTTGGGACAAATTTTGTGACAGACGGATAGACAGACGGACAGTGCACAACTAGACTAACCACTTTGTACTGATCATTCCTGTAAAGTTTGGATAAAATTGCACCAGTAGTTTATGAGGAGTAGTCCGGACAAGCTTTTGCGTATCTGGCAACACACAGAAAAAAACACCTTTTTATCAAAGGGCCATAACTCGGCCAAAAATCATTCAACCAGAAAACCCGTGCAATATGCGCAAGGACTTGAGCTACAGATCAATCCTGTAAAGTTTCATTGAAATTGCATAAGTGGTATAAGAGAAGTAGTCTGGACAAACTTTAAAAATAAAAATTTTTAAAGGGCCATAACTCAAACAAAAATCATTGAACCGGAAAATGCTGACAATATGCACAACTAGACTTGGTAATGATCATTCGTGTAAAGTTTGGATGAAATTGCACCAGTAGTTTATGAGGAGTAGTCCGGACAAGCTTTTGTGTATCTGGCAACACACAGAAAAAGAAACCTTTTTATCAAAGGGCCATAACTCGGCCAAAAATCATTCAATCGGAAAACCCGTGCAATATGCGCAAGGACTTGAGCTACAGATCAATCCTGTAAAGTTTCATTGAAATTGCATTAGTGGTATAAGAGAAGTAGTCCGGACAAACTTTAAAATTAAAAATTATTAAAGGGCCATAACTCTGACAAAAATCATTGAACCGGAAAATCCTGACAATATGCACAACTAGACTTGGTACTGATCATTCCTGTAAAGTTTGGATGAAATTGCACCAGTAGTTTATGAGCAGTAGTCCGGACAAGTTTTGTGACGGACGGACGGACAGACAGACAGACACACAGACGGACAGACAGACGACGGAGAAGTGATCCCTATATGTCGCCACTACTCCGTAGAGGCGACACAAAAATTATTGAATAAAAGTATCAAAACAGTAATTAATGTCTACAATATTTTAACTCTACCTTCAATTAAAACCTTAATTCAAAAAAAAATTTCTTTTCTTTTGTTTTTTTATTGATAACATAATTCTCTGGACCAATGTAATTTAAATTCAACGTAAAATGGGAAAATGAGAACTGATCACACATCTATTTCTTAGCAAACGATATCTTCATAGCATTGCTAGGTGTGATCTTGAAGCCTTGAAGGGCATCCTTGGCAGCAGCAGACTGTGTCTCTGTCTCAAACTCTACAAAAGCAATATCATGTCTGCCCGGTACCAGTCTAACCTCCTTGAAACCTGGGAACCTGAAATACATTGCCAAAATTGTATTACGTGCTTAAAATATAACAATATGACATTTTTAAGTTATTATATCAAAACCTACATACTGTTTAATAAAAACTGCGTAAATTGTGCAAGTCAGTCTGCATTGTTACATCATTTATTCAAGGTTTGACTGAATTGAGCCGGATTAAATTCAGCATGTGATACAGTATACTGAAATAAAGGTTAACGGACATGATTTGAGGAAATTTAATCAATACCAAAGAAAGAATGGATTTTCAAAATTCTCTAAGTAACAATGTGAAAGAAATTACCAATATCAAATAAACATGTCAATAAAAACGAAAAAGGTACGTACTGGTTAAAGAGCATCGACAACATCATTTCATTAGTCTCTTCTGGTAAGTTGGTCAAGAACAAGATCTGGTTGGGAGGTTGTTCCGGTATACTTGTTGGTGCCGTTGCTGGAGCACTAGATGGCGCTGCTGTAAATGGAATTTAAACAATTTTTCAAACAACTTTCACAGCCAATATATAGTAGAATAAACACATTTTAAATATGCTTGTTTACAAGATTTAGAAAAAATATACTGTTGTATTCTTTTTTTCAGTTTTAATACCACTGTCAAACTGTTAAGATAAATTTCAAATAAGTATCTATATTATAAAACATCTGAAACAATTTTTCTCTAATCTGTTACACACTTGCAAATAAAAAGTTGCACAGGAAAGTTTTTGTGAGTTATTTTGGTGGGATTTTAAGACAAACGTGAGAACTTCCAATCATTCATGAAGAAGGAAGTTCCCAGGAGCTACTAGATCTTTTCTGCTTCAAGTCTTAACTTCCATGGTAGGTAAAGAGGCAAAGAAGTAAAATTTACCATCAAACATAATCAAACTATTATTACTATTATCATTATTGTAACCATATTTACAATGACGAAACCCAAATCTTTCCAATAATTACACTAGGATATTATATAAAACTACAATACAAACCTTGTGTAGGTGCTGGTTGCTGTACAACAGGTTGTACTGGTGGGGCTGCCTGCTCTCTAGCTGCCCTCTCTCTGAAATCAATATACAGATTACATGTGTACAATACAAATCTCAAGCATTGGCACTTTAAGACTACACCAAGTCTGAAACAAATATCATGAATGGCGAGTAACACCAATTGGTGTAATTTTGAAGCGAGTAACACCAATTGATGTAATTTTGAAGCGTGTAACACCAATTGATGTAATTTTGAAGCAATCATTTTGAATTTCACTGTTATTTCAAAGCCTTCCAAGTAACGTCTTAACCATGAGTTTCAAAGTATGAGAAATAGAATAATAATTGTACATTTTTTCTTCTAAAGATATTGGTAAAGCTAGTAAAACAGATAAACTTATATTATCATCTTATAATCAAATTTTACCATGGAAACACACACATGTTTTGTTCAAGTCATTTTTCAATACTATACATGTAGTAAGCACTTATACAATATACAAGAAAATTATTCATCTGTATTTACCTTGCAGCATTTGCTTGTCCACGTTTCCTTTTCTTTGTTTCTGCAGGGGCTTCTTCATCCTTCTTCTGTTTTTTAGGACGTTCAACAAATGTTCCCTTCATTTTAGCCACCATATCAGAGTCCTTCTTGGAGTACTGGATTCTCTGAAATAATTTTGACATGACAATCCAGAGACATCACAGGAACATGAACTTGAAAAGAAATAATCAGGAACTTCCATTCTAAAGAAAACTTACAAATTCTTTAATAACTAATAGGCAAATTCTCTGGAATAAAACTCTTTAAAAGACTAAATTTATGTTGCATTTATTTTTTGTCAGTCTGAACAAGATTTCATAATTTTGAATCTGTTTTCATATCATTTACCTTATTTATCAATTTCATAAATTTTAAAAATATACTTGTACTTATAAATCTATAGGATATATGTAACTCAATAGATGTATTTATGATATACATACATGTACTTCATATATTTTGCACTGTATATTATAACTTGATATCTTAAAAGTGAACACAATATTTTACAAAAATGTTTGCTCACACAACTGCTTGTTGCATGCAGATGTCTTAACTAGTTTGTGGAGTAGGAGATGGGGGCAAACCTATATCTAACACAACTTTGATTGTTAGTAATGTTTGACTCACAATGTGCCTTTCAATGAAAAACAAAAATATCAGGATATTAAATGGATGCTCCCGAATGTCTCTGACATTTAGTAAGAACATTGCCTTACTTATGATGAAAAGCAGGAAAATCTATTTATTTGATGAGGATTTCAACTTGATCAACCAAAAAACTCGAGACAAATATTTAAAATAGCATTCAATAAATGAAGGTAGTTTGAGAATTTTCAACTTGTGTGATAAGAGAAGGGCAGGACTGACTGATGGTCAATGAAGCAACAATATGCCCATCCGTAAATTTCAGGCACCATAAAAACAGTGTTTCTTCTTTACTCCAAATGCTTCATTTAAAAGAAGTCAGAAGTGTTGGCATAGGGTCCTTTGGTAGATAACCAGATTCTGTCTGCAAATGTGTTAGAGATACTGGCTACACTGAAAGCTGTGATATGCATCAGCATTGTAATAACAAACTTACCACCTTTCTAGACATGAATATTCTATCTTACCATTGGTTTGTCATAAAATGGGAATCCTTGCATAGATCTTAGGGCATTAGTACTACTGTTAATATCTTTAAAGATGACAAATGCCTGGCCTCTCATCGACAATGTCTTCAACGCAACGATATCTAAAATCTGTCCAAACTGGGAAAATATGGCATACAGTGATTTCTTCAATTCTGAAATATAAACAAATAAGCAGTTAAATTGGTGTCACTTGAGTGTAAATAAAAGAAGTTAAATTGGTCATACTTGAGTGTAAATTATCAATCAATTTATTCATTAAAAAAATCAATTAAATAATATTTGCAACTGAAGTTGGTTGATGCATAGTTATAATGCTAATACATGTAATTTCTCAACATTCAAAATACAACAATGCCTTCCAAGATAACGTCTAATCACTATAAGCACATAACATTAGAAAAATATACACATGTAAATTATCTTTTCTTTTTTTCCAGTTCCTACATGTATCAAAATTTGATAAGACATTCAACATCAAAATGGTTTTAACATTTAGCATTATTTCATCTGGTCACTGTAAAAAATAATATATTCAAAATAACTTTAAATATCAGATTATGCTAACAGTAATAGTATTGTCATGTTAATGAAATTATTATTCAAGGTCTCAAGAGTTTGTTATACATTTTGACATATTAATCTTCAGAATATAAAAAATATTTTCTCACCATCTTTTTTAATCTTTTCATTCAAGTTATTTATGTAGATTGTGTGATTTGGTCTGATATCCATGCTGTCAAATTCTGAAAATTGAAAGAAACAAGTAAGCCATGTATGCATAATGCAAAGAATGAGATCAAAATTACTCAGGGTTCAGGAACATTGACAACAAATTAGTTCTATAAATAAAATAAGGCGTTGCTTTGAGATGCAAGTCAGGCTTGATTGACCATCATAAACTATAACAAGCCTGTTATGTCAAATGTATTGGACTTGGAACAAAATGAGCATGAAACTCAAGTAAGCTCAGTACCCAGTTGAATTCATGCTTGGGAGACCCAAAACTGCCTGAAAGACAGGATATTCTTGATGAAATCTGTATCAATCAATTTTAAATAAAATACAAACAACAATCTATTTTGCCTATCCACCATATTGGTTAAGTAAAGCTCTTTACAGATGGATTCCAAATATTTAAACGGAAATATATTTTGTACACACTGTCAAACATTGATAATTCCACACATATTATCAGTAGAGATTGATGCAGGACAAGTACAAAATGGTAGAATTCTGGCAGGACGAGCGGAAATGTGGTGATGTAATAATTGTAATAGGAAGCTAGAATTCTCATAATCAGTTTGTTTACTTTTAACAATGGAAAACAGGAAACAAAGCTTGTGTTTTAGGTTACATATAAATTGAACACTTACAAATTGTTAATTTGAACAGGTGTAACTGTAGTCCAATATATTAGACGTTACAGGCTTGTTAAAGTTTAATGTTGGTCAAGTCTGACGTCTAATAGTTAGTGCTCATAAATGCATAGCATTTTAAAACAAGAGCTGTCGGTAGGACAGCAACGCTCGACTATTCTTAGTGCGTGATAGTAAAAAAAATGCTTGATACAGTTACCTCCTCCTGTTTACAGGTTGGGGTCATGATGGTGAACAAGTGTGCAAAGTTTCAAAGCCATATGTCAATGGACTTTGAAAATATTTGAACTATTACAAAAACTTTAACGTAAATTCTAAGTCAAAAAAGGGGCATAATTCTGTCAAAATGCTGGATAGAGTTACCACCTCCTGTCTACAGGTTGGGGTCATGATGGTGAACATGTGTGCAAAGTTTCAAAGCCATATGTCAATGGACTTTGAAAATATTTGAACTATTACAAAAACTTTAACGTAAATTCTAAGTCGAAAAAGGGGCATAATTCTGTCAAAATGCTTGATAGAGTTACCTCCTCCTGTTTACAGGTTGGGGTCATGATGTTTGAACAAGTGTGCAAAGTTTCAAAGCCATATGTCAATGGACTTTGAAAATATTTGAACTATTACAAAAACTTTAACGTAAATTCTAAGTCGAAAAAGGGGCATAATTCTGTCAAAATGCTTGATAGAGTTACCTCCTCCTGTCTACAGGTTGGGGTCATGATGGTGAACAAGTGTGCAAAGTTTCAAAGCCATATGTCAATGGACTTTGAAAATATTTGAACTATTACAAAAACTTTAACATAAGTGGTTACGCCGACGCGGACGCTCGGGTGACTGCAATAGCTCTACTTATTCTTATCGAATAGTCGAGCTAAAAATCTAAAAATGTCTATTGTCTTGCCATTCAAGCTTTATTCAAAAGATTATCATCTTTTCTTTCAATTTCATGCTCAATCATTAACAAAAACTCCCAAACAATGTACTTATCAATTCAAAATAAAATATAAATATCAATCTATTTTTCCTATCGGCCATACTGGTTCAAAGGGGTCCGACACACTTGGGTGTGTTCATATATATTGTAATTAAGCTACACAAGCAATTTGACAAAAAATATATGGACAAATATTTTAAATAGAGACAAGGGATTTAACTCTAACATTACCCCAGTGTAAGAAATTAGGATTTGAATCGACTAGACTGGTCGGACTACCAGATTGGAATATTCACTAGCCCAAAAGGCATTTCACTAGACTGATTCATTTGTTCAAAACAGTTGTTTATATTGCCTCTGAAAATACAGTGGCCTGGTCGGGCTTGTTACTGTGAAAAGTTGGTAGCCCGAGGAGAAATTTAGTAGTCAGTGGCTATAGGACTACTGCTAATTTCGAACACTGTTACCCTATCACTGACAGTCTGTGAAAAACAGTCCACAATTAAAACAAATATCACTTTAACCTTTTCATTTCTCTGCTATTCACAATGTAATACCATGCTGATCATTATAAATAAAACTTCAAATAATTCATGCAAACCGGTAGTGTTTTATAAATGTTTACCTTTCCCAAAATTGTCCAAAATGAAGATCATTTACACGAGTGTGTCCACACACATTTTCCCTGTAAGCATACGTTTCTGTGATAATTTCCAGCTATTGACCGATACAGTTAGTTGAATAAACTTGTTTGCGAAATATTTCCACCTATAGTCTTACACAAAACACTAAACACATGCGATAAATCAACTTAACATCAGTTTCTGAAAAATTTACACTTGCCACTGTCATTTTGGATTTCTTGTGACTGTATTGTATCACGCTTTTTGATTGGTCTTTGTGAATGTTCACAAAAGTAGTTTCCCTTGATATCTGGTATCACGCCAATCGGATTATAGCTTTCATCGGCTGATATGTCAAAGTCACGTGACTTCCAATATGTCTGCTGCCAGTGTAAATTTTTCAGAAACTGATGTTAAGTTGATTTATCGCATGTGTTTAGTGTTTTGTGTAAGACTATAGGTGGAAATATATCGCAAACAAGTTTATTCAACTAACTGTATCGGTCAATAGCTGGAAATTATCACGGAAACGTATGCTTACAGGGAAAATGTGTGTGGACACACTCGTGTAAATGATCTTCATTTTGGACAATTTTGGGAAAGGTAAACATTTATAAAACACTACCGGTTTGCATGAATTATTTGAAGTTTTATTTATAATGATCAGCATGGTATTACATTGTGAATAGCAGAGAAATGAAAAGGTTAAAGTGATATTTGTTTTAATTGTGGACTGTTTTTCACAGACTGTCAGTGATAGGGTAATGTTAGAGTTAAATCACTTGTCTCTATTTAAAATATTTGTCCATATATTTTTTGTCAAATTGCTTGTGTAGCTTAATTACAATATATATGAACACACCCAAGTGTGTCGGACCCCTTTGTACTGGTTAAGTAAAGCACGTTACAGATTGATTCCAAATTTTTGAACGGAAAAATATATTCGAACACGCTGAGGGTGCATGGGCAATTATTTCATTGAAAAAATATTCCGTTAGAAACTTCTGACTCATTTAAACGCTTGCATTTGAATTAGCCAATCAGATTTCGCGCACTGCATGGCGGCCATTTGTTTATCGGCTGTATAAATGAGAGGATTTTTAATCATTATTTTTCGAATGTGACAGTTTAATTATTTTGTTAAAAGGTATTTATTTTTCAGTTTTGTCCAAAAATTAATGTAAATACATGCTGTCTTAATTGTTTAAATGCATTAGATCTGAATCAATGTCCAATGTCAATTTGTTTGCTACACAATTTTGCAAAGATCTGTTAGGACCTAACGAGTAATGTAACATGGAAAATGAAAAATGTAAAATATCAGATTAATGAATAATAAATATGTAAAAGATTTCGTATAGGTCTTATAATTAGGACTAGTGTAACTTGAACATGCCCAACAGACAATGCTCTATAAAGTGTGCAATTTATACAAAACCTTAAACACAAGCTTTGTTTCCAGTTTTGGTCTGTTAAATTTGTGTATTAACACAAACCCGTTTTTAACCGATTATAAAATTTTCTAGTAGTCAGTTGCATCTTGGAGATTTATTTTGAAAATCGTGCTCAAGATGCAGGACAAGTAGAAATTTGAAGCTACTCGTCCAGCAGGACAAACGGCTCAATTTTTCTTTTATCTCTGGCTGAAGATGCATTTGACATGGTAAACATTTGTGCCAAGTTATTTCAAAACCCTCAATGTATGACAAAGTTACAGTCCGGACACGAACAAAGTGGGGACGCAAAGATAGACGGACGGACAGACGGTACTATTTTAATATGCCTCCCATCAGTGGCATAAAAATATCTCAAACTTTCAAAGCAAATTTTATGTCATTTATACAGGCTGGGCACATCTCCCAATCGGGCTAAATTAGCTCAATCGGGGTAATTTAGCCCGATTGAGCTAAAATCCAATGAATGAAAATGATAACATGTGTCTGAAATTTATGGAAGCGTATAAAATCGAGTACTCTCCCTTGTCTCGATGTGATCCAGTTTCTACAATAACACATCTGATACATTAAAATATGCTGTACTCGCTTGATCTTATTGCGCAATTTGGTGTAAAAAATACCGAATTTTGAAAATCTGATCAACATATACCCAAATCTGTTATATTAACTCCAATACTGTACAAAATTCTTCGCCAATTCAACGCAGCTTCATCATCGACGCCATCTTGGAAAGATTGATTAAAATCCGTCATGCACGAAACACTTTAATCTATTGTTTTTCATTAATTGATATAGGGTGTGTGCATATTTTAGAAACATCATAATTATTTTTATACATGTAAAATGAATTAAAAATAATAATATCTATATATATGTTTATAAAATATACCACATGACTTTTGCACGAGTTTTTCGGTTTGAGGTCATATTGAGTTCGTATGCAGTGAAGACTAGAGATGTCGGTAAGTACATATGAACACGTGTATATTGATGATTATTCGTATTCATTCTCTGAACTTTCTGCAGATTCTGAAATGATATATTCGTTTGTAAAGCATCAATAATTATTGAATAATTTTAGTTTCAGTAATTGTTAATACTTGTTTGTTGTTTCAAATGATTCTTATAATAATCGTTTTTCACATGTTATATATTAATTTTTTACACTTATTTTAAGAGAATGTGTACCTGTAGAACTTTTGTCACAGAAGCATAAGAGCATGGATTGACCATTATAGGCTCTCCTACAACAACTTTCGGGGACTCTTTATGGTGCATGCTTGGAATCCAATTATAATGATTAAACATATCCTGTTCAACGACTGGATTAACTCCAGCTGAATATAAATATAATTGTAATTGAATTTGAGAAATTAAAGACAAATTAACTATTGCATCATGACATTTAAATAGACATTGTGTTTGTCTGAATTCATGACGAAATCAAAATGCGTTCATGATGTAATTTTGTGCGTGTAATTAGATTTATTTGCTTTATTATTACTTATGCAACGAAACAAAATCTAATATAATCTAAATAATGTGTTTAAAATATATATATTTTTTACAATATTTTGGGATAATGAATACAAATTATGTCAGAAATTACCTTCAATTTTTTCATCAATGTAATCACGTGTCATACTAGTGTTGTGTGCTCCCATGTCGTTGACAACTTTGGCCAGTCGTTTTTCAATAAATTTATTCCTTACATTTTGGAAGACCGATTCATTGTCATGCAACATTGATTTGATTTTTGAAAATGTGTCAACATTATTACAGTTGTAATACCATTTTGACGGTGAAATTTCTTGTTGTTTTAAAAGATTTGTTTTCTTTGCTGGTATAATATTAACAACCGTGGTAACAACACTTGCCTTTGATTTATAATTATGATTAACCCGCCAATTTCTGGCCACAACTTGGTTATTGTCAAAATAAGTAAACGTGTCAGTGGACTCGGGGTAACTGAGGGACGTGTCGGAGACATTCTTCAGCCATTCAGTTAGACATGAATAGCTACCTGCTGGGGAATGTACGCTATTCAATTTAGTTATAATTTTGCTGCCAGTGATATAATAGCTAATAAGATTTTTATAAAATGGTATTATTGGTGTTATAGTTGGAAGATTCCTGGCTTTCAATAAACAGTCAATGCTGCAAGCAATACTTTTATTTTTTTCTCATTTTCGTCTACAGATTTTATATTTGCAACAGGTAATAGGAAAGATCTATGTGAGTATACGATTTCTGTTTTTTATATATTTTTTTACTTTTACATCATCATCAAAATTTATACTCTTGTACGATGACGAAACAACCATTGAATCTTCATATATATTTGAAGAAATTTTTTCACCAATGGCTGCAACAATTTCTACTAATTCATTTTCTTCAAATTTATCATTTTTCAAATTTTCTAAAAATGTTTTACAATCATTTTCTGCCTTTAATTTTTTATGACTTGGTTCTATCATTAAGGTATCCTGTACATAATTCAAACAAACATCACACACAGATGCTGCCTTTTCTGGGATAATGCAATGGTTTTTCATAAATTTTATTGTTCCCACTTTTATTTTCTAATGCGCAATTTTTATTATTTTCAACGACTTTCCTTCAGTCAAAGAAGAATGTTGTTCACAAAAACACTTTGACATGGTGTTTTCCTCTGTAATAAAACTATATGAAATAAGAGTATGTTTAACCTTTATTATAATAAGATATTGAATTGCAATTTCGATTAATGATCTTTCTTTTAAACTGAAATCGGCTCTACATAAAACATATTTTATTCATAATCATACACATTATATAATATACGATCATTTAATATAGAAAATGATGAAATGGATTAGAACGAAAGATATAATATATCTTATATAGTTTTTCTCTGATAAAAGTTTTAATAAATCGTCTCTTAAGAAATGTTTATTTGTTTATTTAATTAATTTGATTTAATAGTTTCTGATAACTTGTTTCTAGGTCGAGTGGGGTTCATTTAACACCGCATTTTCCTTGTTGATAATTGTTTTTCACATTTCAAGTATTCAATTAATGCTTTCTTAGATAATCTATCATTTTCAATAATTCATTTGCATGCCCATAAGGGTTTTATGAAATAAGAAACTATGACCGGAGATTAATTAAATAACAAAATAAGTATTTTCATGTAAAGAAATGCAACAAGAACATAAGTTACAATATGCAATAGTTATCGAAAATGGAATATGTGTTACTAGCTTATTGTGACACATCTCATGACTCAATTTAACAATGTTTTGTTGATGAAAATAAAATAAGCTTAACTTACTTCATATACTGTAAGTATAATATGGGAGGAATATATCCTTTACCAGCTTCAAATACTTCTACTACTTCATATAAATGGGATGTATATACATACATAGATAAAGAGACAGACAGACAGAGGGAAATACATACATATATCCTCTACGAGGGACTTTCAAGTGTATACATGGAAAGACACAGGGTAATTATAAAGAAAAAACACGCTTTTCACGAATTTTTCGTTTATTTTCATGTACAATATAATATATGATATAACATAAGTTTACAATTTACATTCAGATACTCGTAAGACCAGTTTTAGTACGTTTATTGAAAGCAATGGTTATCACATTCACTAGAGTGCATTGATTATGCAAACCATTTTAACACTTCCGTTAATAAATATGAACTATTCTATTTCAGTTTCCACATATATAATATTTTTAACACACCCTGTATATATTTTGGTTAATTAATGAAAAACAATAGATAAAAGTGTTTCGTGCATGACGGATTTTAATCAGTCTTTCCAAGATGGCGTCGATGATGAAGCTGCGTTGAATTGGCGAAGAATTTTGTACAGTTTTGGAGTTAATATAACAGATTTGGGTATATGTTGATCCAATTTTCAAAATTCGGTATTTTTTACACCAAATTGCGCAATAAGATCAAGCGAGTACAGCATATTTTAATGTATCAGATGTGTTATTGTAGAAACTGGATCACATGGAGACAAGGGAGAGTACTCGATTTTATACGCTTCCATAAATTTCAGACACATTTTATCATTTTCATTCATTGGATTTTAGCTCAATCGGGCTAAATTACCCCGATTGAGCTAATTTAGCCCGATTGGGAGATGTGCCCAGCCTGTTATACACAAGATTAGGATTTCAATTATTGTCAAGAGTTTGGCCCCCCGGTTAGATGCCTACCGCATTGTGTTCGGGTTACGATTTTAAAACATGGATTTTGCTGTCGACAGATTCCTTAAGTGCTTCCTTTAATGCCGCATCAGATGAAAAATCATGTCGAAAAGCCGCTTATAAAGTTTGGGAGCCAGAACTAAAATTTGTCCACTGGCCAAGTAAACCAAAACAAAATTGGAATATATTTAATAATAAGAAATTATTTAAAAGAAACACTATATGAAAGAAAGCAGGAAGAATTTAAAGTCTTTTTGAATACCTTCGCGCTGATTAGAAAGGATTTCACCGCTATTAAATCTGTTGATTTCGTATTTGTTTACAAACGTACCGGAAATCACTTCAACGTGAAAATTTTTACTCGTGAGAATTACTAGTGCACCTATATTTTTTTTTTTACAAAACAAGTTTTTCATTTCAAATGAATTTGATATTTGAAGAAAAGGATTCATTTATATGTTTTTCAAAAGAACGTTTCGAAAAAATACATTATCTATGTAAAAATTAATTAGTCTCATCTAAACGAGATTTTGAAACGTTATGTGTCAGCCATTTTTAGCAAAAATCTGAGGGAGGAGGGACCAAATTAATAATTATGGTGAATAAACCTTATACATACACAACGAATTGCATATATTCTCATGCTTTAAAGTCACAATTATCAATTCTTTCGTTAGTAAACACTGTCACTGTCATTTAATGTTAGTGCACGGAATAAAATCACATTATTTCAACCATTTTCCTATGTTTACATGATTCATGTGACTACTTTCTTGGCCCAATTTTGAAAATTATACTTTTTTCCAATGGTTCCATTAAAGGTTGAAAAATGACTTTCAATTACTTGATCAGTTTAATTTTGTTAGCAGATTAGAGTTACTAAGTCTGGTTATGAAATTATTTCAGTGAACAGGCCTGTTACCACAATTTTTTTATCACACAATTTTTATTTTCAGACAATCTGGGATTAGACACTAGACCCAGCTTGCTCTGCCCTTATTAACTAGTATGAAATTAGGTGCTATCTATGATGTGCAAAGCTGTTAATACAGGGCTTTGCCGGCTATACAAATAACTTGTGTATATTAAAAAGGAATCAAATTTAAATATATAGATTTCTATAGACCTTTTTACGATGCGGTCCGTTGCTATGAAAAATTGACCGGAAGTAGTACTTTCTCGCGCATGCGCAATCTGGATAGGGCAAAAAAGCGTTGCCCTACATAGAAATGTAGTAAAAGTTCATAGATAATTCCGAGTTAGTTGAAGTAAAAATTAGGAAATCATATAAAATAGCTTTTTACACAAACATGAAAGATACATTTGTAGTTTTGTGGCCAAAATTGCCACAAAAAGGCACGGAAAAGACGATTGTTTAAGAATTCCCCCTTCCGATCATGGACATGACAATAAGATTACTGTTGTAAAAAAATGTCGAAATATATATATTTTCAAATAAAGAAGTCAGTTTAATTTTTGTTGAAATTGTTCTTATAAAAACTAAAGAAATTTTATAACATATAAAATAGAGGTTTATTACTATTCTGAAAATAAGTCGGAACACGTGATAATTAATGCATTTTTAGTTTTCAGCTTAACTAATATTATCCTTTATCCGACTTGACTGTGATGCCAAGCAGAAACTTTTTAAAACACAAAGATATATTTAAATAATGTTTCAAACTCTTGATAGGTTAAGATGGGTTGAGAAATAACACACATTTTATCCGGTTTCTCGTAACACATTAAAATGCACGTCACATACACTATTTAATTGTCACTTCACAAAATTAATAAACATTGATGGTATAAACTTAAAAAGTAACTTAAATTTCATAATTTTATAATTTTATGTAATTAACTGGACGATGGTACTAAAACATCCCGCTTGAATGATACTGAAAACTATAGCTGGCAAATAACAATTAAGCGGTCACTTGATCACGTGTCAATCCGTTTGACACTTACCGCCTTGCCAATCCACTTTCAAAGGAATACCGATTGTGTAATATTATGTAATACATGGGTAATAAAATTGTATCTACTAGATGAACCCTATTGGTTTTGGGGTCAAGGGGTCAGTGTCGTATTGACCTTGTACTTAATGACGGTTTCTGACCAATAACTCAACAACTCAAGTTGCCTTGGTTGATATTTTTATGTTAAACTAAAAATGCTTTTGGTATACACATTTGAATGTCTTATGTAAAAGAACAACTTGGCTGTTAGTGAGGCCTACATGATTCATAAAATTTATGCATATATTATTTGGTAAGATTTGTAATAACTTAAATTGCTGCACACAACCTATGGGGTCACAATAATTATTACCTTGTGACTAGTCATGACCAGTAGATAACTCTTATTAATTTTTTGTTCACTGGGTCAGAAGTCATGCATAATAACCTGATCACATGACTTATTGGCTGCCCATAGGGGGCATACATATTTTACAAACATATCTTGTTTAATCTTTGGACGCACTTAGTATGACTTGGATGAAAATTATTTCGTTTTATGATTTAATGTTATTAAACAGTTAGGTGCAACCTTGTGACAAGTGAAGTCAGTAATTTTCATTTTCAGTTAAGATTCCATTTACTATTAAAATGATTTTTAAGATAAGCACACACGTCTCTTGATATAGATATCATTTGTTGCCATGCCAGACATAAAAAGCAACATGTGACACAGTGCAAGTAGATTATGATATATAATTTTTTCTCAATACCTTGATTTACCTTTGTCGCAGAAAAATTACCATGGTTATTAGATGTAACATTATTTTTTGTTTCAGAGTTTCTTTGGTTTCGGCCAGAGTGCCGAAGTAGACATACTGTTGGATGGGCAAGATTCAAGGAAGACAGCTGAGATCAAAACAGAAGATGGCAAAAAAGAAAGATACTATCTATATTATGATGGGGAAACAGTAGCTGGAAAGGTGAATCCTTATATAGTCACTTGACTGATGATATTAATGTAAAGGGCTGCATATTATTGCTTAAGTAATAGATTAAGTTCATTTTATGACTTGGTTTCAATACATATAAAGAATTACTTACCATTTATTATTACCATCCATGTAGGATCCCTATTTATTCCTCTTAATGGTGTGATTCGTAGCTTTTAGAAAAACATTATTAATATTTGCTTACAGTCTAAACTGAATATGACAACATAGGAGATTATAAGGTATTTTCATTATTTACTGAACACCCATCATATTGGCATATATCATTGAGTTTACATGTATTGCCTGTAGTTCAAACATTGATTTGTTGATGTTTTGCAATAGATGATTAAAACTTGTTTGTGTGCATTATACAGGTTAATGTTAATCTAAAGAAAGCTGGCAGTAAAATGGAGCATCAAGGGATCAAAATAGAGTTTATAGGACAAATAGGTAACACACATAATTCTCATAGATTTTCAAAAGTAACTACCATGTTTACAACTTATAGAAAATAGTAAACAGATGTCCATTCTCTTAGCTCAATAGGGAGAGTATAGGAAAAGTAATACAGGGGTTGCTGGGCCGATTCTCCGGCTAGGTTTAATTTGTTTGTTTTTATATCATTTTAAAAAAAATGGTATCTTTTTGTCCATAAAAACATTAAGCAGGGACTTTTTTAAAGACTTTGGGAACATGACCTATACCCATGGAATTGGCAATTTAAGCGGTGTTTTGTTAAAAATTGGGGAAAAATGCATGACTGAAATTTTACAGTGATTACTGGTAAATGGATGAAAACATTTACTGTCTAGGATTGCATCTTCAAACATTTAAGCACTATTACAGTGAAAGAGCCCTTATTTTCAAAGATTTTTGAATTTTTACTCAATTTTTTTATTTTGTTACTTTCAATTGAGAATTTTTTCCTGTGGATTGGGAAATAATATACTATTTTCAATAGGGAATATTACTCAATAACGGCTGTAAAATAAGCCAAAAAAATCCCTGGTAAGTCACAGAATTATTAGCCAAGTGGTGTAAGATTTCAACAGTCATTTCGTATTTAAATTGTCTACTTGATGTTATGAAAATCTATCAATGTATTATTTTTGTAACAACAGTGAAATACTATACTTTTTCGATTGTTCGACTTTCTATTGCATGCCAATCTCGAAGACTTACTGTTTAGTCAATGGTGTTTTGTCCCGTTGTATCCTAGATATATTTTATGTTTGATACATATGAAATATAAGTTCATTTAATATATTATCACAGAGGCCAATAATTTCGTTGCAGTATTGTAGAATTATATTATGGCAGAGGCCAATAATTTCATTGATGTATTGTAGAACTATATTTGACAGAGGCCAATAATTTCATTGTTCTATTGTAGGGCATTAATTGTATTGTAGAATTATATTTTGACGAAGGCCAGGTATTTCATTGTTTTATCGTATAATTATAATATTATCACAGAGGCCAATTATTTCTTTGGGTATTGTAGAATTAAAATATTATAATAACAAGGTCCATAATTTTATTGATGTATAATTATATTATGACAGAGGCCAATAACTTCATTGTTGTTTTGTAGACTTATATTTTGACAGAGACCAATAATTTCTTTATTGTATTGTAGAATTATATTATGACAGAGGTAATCATCATGAGTTTACATCTCTTGTCAAAGAACTTGCACGTCCAGGTGAAATGTCACAGAATACAAGCTTTAGCTTCGAATTTCAACAAGTGGAAAAACCATATGAATCTTACACTGGTGCTAATGTTAGATTACGGTATGTGTGCTTTGAACTCTTACCTTACTATCTTAAATGGACTTCTCCATCTTTCAATCTGAGCAAGACCAGTCATAATTTTTAAGGAAAATTTCAAAATAGGTCCTGACTGAAGACAACGATCAGAGAGCACTGATGTGCTGGCTGATCTTCGTCTGCACTAGTTGCATGGGTAAATTATGTTGCCACCAGCAGGCTAAGGGCTAAATGGTTGATCATAATCACAAGTATGCATATGTATTTATTTTGACCATTAATGAAATATACTTAGAATTGTTATTATTTTTTATCAGATTTAAATTAGGATCTGTGTATCTCTGCAGTTTTTATTCAGTCCATGATTTTTTCCCATTACCAATATCTTAAAGAAGGAATAGGTGTATTGTATATTTTATGTGTAAAACTAGAAGGTTGTTTATTGATTTGTCAGATATTTTCTTAATAGTTATATCCTATGCAATTATGGACAAGTAGCTTATTCAAAACGTATGCTTTATTTTTTTGATCCAGGTATTTTCTGAGAGTAACCATAGTGAAGAGACTTAGTGATTATGTAAAAGAGCAAGATATAGTTGTTCATACACTGTCACAGTATCCAGAAATGAACTCCAGTATAAAGATGGAAGTAGGAATTGAAGATTGTTTACATATAGAATTTGAATATAACAAATCCAAGTAAGTTTAGTTTCATATAAGATAAAACATTAATTAATATATCATTAATTAATGTATAATGTCAACTGATGAAACTTGTAGAGTTATAGTCACCTAAGAAAAATTGATATTGAACATTTACTATGGACTTTCAGCAATTTGTATTTAGACACAATGCAGGATATACATCACAGCTGAAATAGATTTACGAATGTTGGAAGTAGGTCATATGGTTGAAGAAAGACTGTATGCCTTGATGATAATAACAGGACTTCCTTCTTTATAACTGGCTGAAAACAACCTAATAACTGTCGGGACAAGTTTATATAATAGCTATTTGTATGGAAATAGTACATACTTACAGTAAAGCAGTTATAGTAGAAAATCTTTTATAGATTGAATTATTAGGTAAAATGTTTTTCCATAACCACAATATTGTCCAAGTCAAAGGGTGGGCATAATATGTAACTTTAACCAACAACCCCATAGAATACTGTTCTACATCCCTACTGACTGAGCTGCTCAGCTGATCACACATTTTCTCCCCTTATTTGTAGACAGTTCAATACTGTGATTATTTTGATGAAAAATAAGGCCAACTCAGCACAGGAAAGTATATAATTTGCTATCTTTACATTGAAAGATACCACCTGAAGGATGTGATAGTAGGCAAGATATATTTCTTGCTAGTACGGATAAAAATTCGCTACATGGAGCTGGCGATAGTAAGACGAGAAGTTACTGGTGCAGGTTGTTCTGTATTTTTAAGTGTTGTCATGGTTTCTAGATATGTTCTATAAATAGATATGTTTTTATTTTCTATTTTATTATTTCCGTGTTGTAGCTTTTTCTTCTTGAGTGATTGTTACAGCACTATAGTTTGTTTATTGAGATTGAAATGTGTCTTAGAAAAAATGTGTCTTAGATACAAAACTACTGCATGTTTCTGTTTTACAAATCTTGTGATACTGTTATATATATATACGTATATGATTAAACACTTAATTGCTATCTATAATAGCTCCATAGGGAAAGTTTTTAATGCTGTTAGTTCAAATCTAACAATTAGACATGAATATATTCAGAATTTAGATTAAAAATTTATAGACAGAACAAGTTTTTACTGGTAATATGGAGATATTAAGATATAAAATTTCATAATAATGCTTTTTAAAAAAAAAACAACAATTAAAAATACACATACAAAAATTAGACTACCTATTTTCATAAGTATGTGATGTATGTGGAAAAAAATAGAAAAAGAAACATACAGTAGTTTTGCATTTACCAAGTTGCTTCTTGAAATTTTTTCCAGTGTCATCGTTTTTGCATCTTATTTTACAGGGCCCTATAGAAACTTCATCAACATTGAAGTCTAAAAATAGAATTATTGTTGAAAATCTTTACTGTTTTGTTGTTTTCAATACTTTATTAGATACATTGTATATGTACATGGTTCCAAAATTTGACAAAAACTGTACATGTTTTTTCTGTCTTATTCTACAACAGATCATTTAGCAATTACACATTTACTTAAACAGATTGGTGATCATTATCATCTGTTGAAATGCTGTGACAATCATTTGTATTTTCAGCCTGTAGATTAAAATATCCCCTATGATCCTTGGCCAAATGGGTTGTTTTTTGTTGGCACATCTTTTGCCTTAACTTTGATTTACAATAAAACAAAAAATGAGTAGTTATTAGTGATTTAAGTTCTAATTTTAGTCTTCAAATGTTGATGAATACTGGTTCTAATTTCTCATGATGATGTAGCTTTTTTGTGTCTTATACAAGTGTTTACATTTTAGTTCTTATTATCTAGTTTTCATTTTATTTTTGTTTCTTGTTGTGTAAATCTGTTGATATTGTATTGTATACAGGTATCATTTAAAAGATGTGATTGTTGGAAAGATTTACTTTCTGCTTGTGAGAATTAAAATCAAACATATGGAAATACAGATTATAAAAAGGGAGAGCACTGGAACAGGTACTGTGTCGTTTTCTATTTTTGATAACAAAACAATTGTTGAATTGGTCAATGAATGCCAAGAATATGTGTTAAACTGTTCTTTAATGTTACCAAAAAATAAATACAAAGAATGATGTTTAGTAAAATGATGTCAAAAGGCTATAAATTTGGATGAGATTTTTTTGTAGTAAAATAAAGTTAGATGCAGGAATAATTGGTGTATGGTCATTTTAATGCACTGATTATCAACTGAAAGTATAATAAATCAAATTATACTGCAATATCTTCTACAAAATTAGAAGTATGAATGTAAAATTATGACATAACAAATTAAAATACAGGAAATTTATTGAATTTTGTATTGTGGAAACTCATACCAATTGTGAATATTATATCTCATAATCTTTCATTACTTTCCTGATTTTAAGATTTCTTTTCTTTTATAGAAGGCATGTAGCTTTGACTTTTGTTTTTTTTCTATGCTTGATGTAATAGTGACATTTCATTAGTATGCTTGTTTGGTAGAACTTTTTCTTAGATGTGCACAGAATGATTGTGTACAATGTAATTATTGTAACATGCTTTATCCCTCAGAGTCAGTATTTTTTATGTTTTAAACAAATAGATTAATCATTTTAATAAAAAAAGTTTATATTTCATTGTTAAGGTATTGTTTTTAGCATCTATTCAATGAATTTGATGAATCTCATCCTGATGTCGGAATTGCACTTAAGTTGTTTTTTTTGCGTGCAATTTGGTATCTCCAAGACTACTGTCCCGACAGGGACTTTGGATTCTTTCATGTGAGGAAGCTATTGAGCTAGCTTACGGAACGTCAATGGTTCTACTCAGGTGCCCGGACATGGCTAAAATCATTCATGGAAGGGCACCTGAGGTATTCCTTCACCAGTAAAGCTTGAACATCGCCATATGACCTTTACTGTGTCAGTGTGACATAAAACCCAATCAAACAAACACACAAACCATGACTACTGAAGGGAATGGGTTGAAACCTCTGACATTTATTTCAAAGCAAAGTAGGATGTCACTATACAAAACCCATAAAACTTTAATGGATTTTGACAGAATTGTGGCCCTTTTTGAACTTAGAAAATTCTCTGTCTTGTTTTACTATCAGGCACTGAGAATAGTTGAGCACACAGTCCTACTGACAACTCTTGTTTTCAAGTCAAATTCTGCCAGATAACCTTTCAATATTTCCAAAAAAATCGACTATTTGATTTGATATTGGTTACAGATTTTATTATTTTAAAGTCCTGAAATGAGTTATTAACATATAGACAGTAACTGTTCAAGTTTATCATGAATGTAATGAAAATGTTTATGAATAAAGAATGTTGCTACAAGTAAGTGGGCATATAAAAAAGTTTTAGTGCCTTTGGCCTGTAATGAGTATTGTTGTTTCAACTCCTCACGAAAATAAGTTCCTCAGTTAAATTAGAATCGATTTAAACATTTAATTTTACTTCTATATTTCTATAAAAATGTACCGTTTTTTGTTCACAGAAGTTCAAATTATTTATGTAATATATGTACATGTAGTTCGGTCATGGATCTGCTTTTATTTGATATGCTCTTTTTATTTTTAGGTCCAAACACATTTAATGAGAATGAAACTATAGCAAAATATGAAATAATGGATGGTGCACCAGTTAGAGGTTAGTACATTATAAACTTAAACATTCCTGTCAACCTTATGTTATCCTTGCAAGTTTGGAATGTTTTCTAAGTTTGGAAGACATGCAATTGGCTTTCAAGAGATATATACTGGATGGCTCTATTCTAATAGCCTTGGTAAATTTGTTTAATGGAATTGTCCAGCTTTGAATTTAGAACAGTTCATTCAAAGATTTAGTGATTTCAATATCAAAACTGGAGCTTTCAATTTCATAGAGCCTGGTCAGATGGCATAGAAGTGCTAACATGGCTCTATACTGGTGGCAAAGATAAATCATTTTTAGCTCGACTTTTCTATGAAAAGGGGAGCTATCCTACTCGCCCCGGCGTCGGCGTTGGCGTCACACCTTGGTTAAGTTTTTCGTACCACCCCACTTTATTTCAGAAGTATTACAAGTATGGCTTTGAAACTTACCATACTTGTTCACCATCATAACCTCCATCTACAGACAAGAGTACATAACTCTGTCAAGGTTTTTGACAGAATTATGGCCCTTTTTTGACTTAGAAAGTGTATTGAGCTTGGTTAAGTTTTTTGTACCACCTCACTTTATTTCAAAACCATTGGAGGTATTGCTTTGAAACTGACCATACTTTTTACCATCACGACCTTCATCAACAGACAAGAGGACATAACTCTGTCAAGGTTTTTGACAGAATTATGCCCCTTTTTGACTTAGAAAATACATTGAATATGGGTAAAATCCACTTATTGCCTTAACCCTTTGAGATATTGCTTTGAAACTTTTAATGCTATTTCACATCATTACCCCCATCTGTACGCAAGAGAAGGTAACTCTGTCAAGGATTTGTTTTAAAAATTAAGGCCTTTTATCGACTTAGAATCTTGGTTAAGTTTTTAGTACCAGTCCACTTTTTTGACTGAACTGTTTGAGATATTAATTTGAAAGTTGGAATACTTGTTTACAATCATGATTCCCAAACATGTCCAGGAGAAGGTAATTCTGTCAAAGATTTTATTTGAATTATGGCCCTTAACTGTCAATGTTTTGTATTATAGGCAAGCACTAAAAAACTTAAAAAATCTAAAAAAATTCATTCCTATCCACTTGTTCACTTTACCATAAATTATGTCATATAAACATTGCTGTAATATTCAATTCAGTAAAATAATTCTTCACTAAATATCTTAATGCTCATGGCCATTGTTCACTTTAAAAATACAGAGATTCTTGTATTGCCTTTTACTGCAAAAACTTTTTTTATTGGCAAGCAATAAAAAAGTCGAGCGCGCTGTCTTACGGACAGCTCTTGTTTATACAATCAGGCTAAGGGTTAAACTGGTTTTAATTGAAGAGAGTTAAAAGCAAGAAGTGCAGAACCTGCCCAGAAAATAAGGATGTGCAAGCTTACCTTTCTTCTTATTTTTGGCATGGGTGTGCACTATTTCTTCCAACTCAAGTGTCAAGTTCAGTTTATTTAATGGGCAATGACTGCTATATGATACAGATTTTAGTTATACCTTGTCTTTATGTGGTTCTAACCATCTTTTACAATGTGGTTTCCTGGGAAACCTAAAACTTTATTAGTGAAAAATTCTATGATTGTATGTCCATATAAAACACATTTCTGATGTATAATGTATAAGATAAAGTATCATCAGTTCAGAAATGAGATTATTTCTTTTCTGCATGGCAATATCAAAACCCCTGTTTTGATTTTTAAACAAATAAACATGGATTCTGATGAATAATCAGTGTAGAAAAATAAATTTTCCACAAACCAAACAGATGATGATAATAATATATTGTTTATCTGCTTTCAATTCTGATTTTCTCTTATGTAATACAGGAGAGTCAATACCAATCCGACTGTTTCTCAGTGGCTATGAACTTACACCAACAATGAAAGACATCAACAAGAAATTTTCTGTAAGATATTACCTGAACCTTGTACTTGTAGACGAGGAGGAGAGGAGGTACTTTAAACAACAGGTATACATAACGTTTTGTTACAGTGTTTTGGTTTTATGGTTGTATATTAAGTACATGTCGTATAATGAAATAGTTTGCTATAGAGTCTTGTCCAGTACATGTGGTAGAGCATTGAAATAGGTTAGTCAATTTATACATGTTGGTTTTGAGAATCTTACTCAGTCTTCTTTGCATACATTTAGTTATTATTAAAGTAAATTATAAAATAAAAGAGAATGAATACTCTATGCTAATATCAAGCTCACTTTTAGAAGACTGATCATGGGCATAAATATTGAAATCTGTATTCCAATTTTTAGTCAGCAGAAGTAGTTGGTTACCTAAATTTTGATGTCCAAATATTAGTTTATGTTTTCTACATGGGGCTTTACCTGTTCATATTATTAAAGTCTCCTTTCTCTCTTATAGTTTTAAATAAAACTTCATGTTGCATTGAAACAATTGTCGTTTCCATTTCTAGGAAATAACAATATTCAGAAAAGCAGACAAACAGAGAAAACCGGCAGCTGGCTATCAGACCCATCGTTCTATGATGCAACATAACCCACAACCTCAGAAGGAAACAGAACAAGCCAATTCAGATAGCAAAGAAGAAAAAGAATGATATTCTTCTTCAGTCACATTTTTGCTGACAATATTTACATTTTCATAACTTTAAAAAAAAACCAGTTTAGGGATGTTGCAATAAGGGATTTACCTATACAGTGCTGTAGTAGTGCTATATGATGAACAACAACAAGAACCAACACAGTTAATTTACAAAGTGAAAGATGCATATTATGGAAATTAATCAGTAAGATGTTGCACCCAAGTTTGTATAAAGAAAATATAAATTTCATCTGTGAACAGGCAAACCATGTGTTCAACACAAAAAACACAATTTTGTATTATTGTTCTCATGTATTTATTTTTGTCATACTTGATTTGTTACAATTTAGAATTAAGTATAAATGATGAAATTGCTAGGCAGTAAATGTTCATATTCCAATGAGTAGACAAGATTATTGAAATGAAAAAAAAAGGAAATGTTAGACAGTAGTTTCTTATGTACGCAACAAAAAAGTGCTGTTGTAAGGTATATCCAGGTTAAGAGAAAGTTCAGTGATGTATTTATACCATCAGAAAGTTAACCAGATTAATGTTGAGGGGGTACTTGACGCAATATTCTAGAAAAATGGGCATAAAGTGGAGTCGTATAATAGATAGCTGTGATTTATTTGTAGATTTTATTTTTGATTTCTGTTTTTCTGTGTTTTGTCAGTGCACACATTTCATGATTATGTTCCATTTCTCTTTCACTCATTCACATCTCATTTTAATTTTGAATGTGTAAATTTTATTCTATAATGATTTAATTGGGAAAAAAATCAAGAATTTTGATTTTTGGTTCACAAGTTATTGACCGATAGAATCTATTTCTAACATACTTTTCTTTGCATGAAATGGTATATGTCAATACTTTTCTTGTTAAGTTATGGTATTCAAAGATAAATATGAATGATTTGAAAAGATTTATTAAAGATTTAAACTATTATTTAATTTAAAATAAATGTTTATGAGATTTCATAGATTTTCTGTAGGACATGTCTGGATTGATTCATTAAATGATGGGATTCCAGGTGTATAGAATTAGGTATTAAATGTTTCATTGGGTTATATATCTCATCATTATAGGACAAATAAATGTACACATTTGTATTTATTGTAAAAGTACAAGAAAAGGGAGTGAAGCATCATCATGGGCAATGTAAGTTACTAGTTTACACCTGCTTCTATTTTGAGTACAATTTTGGTTAGCATACTTTCTTCATCAGATTTTTCAAAATGAACTTAAAACTGGACTGAAACTTCACCTACTGTATTGGAGTTGCATGCTCAGATCCTCGATTTTTCTCCATTACCTTTCATCTTTAACAAGAAAGAAATTTTGTCAATTTTTTGTACCCAATAGTCACGTAATCATTTCAACATATAATTTTGCAAAAGTGTGGACAAGTACCTTGAACTTAATCCGATTTTTTTTAACCATTTATATCATTATTTGTATACATAATCTCATTCTTTATTAAGTATTACTGATTACATTATTATTGATTTTTTACTAAAAAATGTTTAACCTTACAGAATCAGTGAATAATTTGTACCAGGAAATTCTGTTGTAAATTTGCATGAGCTTGAAAAAGATATCCTGTGTTTTAACACTTGTTTCTTATGGCTGCTCTGATAGCTCAATGAATGTAGAGAACGTACAGTGTTATGCCGAGATTTTAAAATCTATAATTTGCTGTGTTTTCTCCAATAGTGATATCTATTAAGTCCCTTTATTTTCTTTATCAGTTGTAGTTTATGGAAGGGCCTTGGTAACACTTGGTGCCTGTGCGTATATGAAATAATGCAAGGATAGGCACCTGAGGTCTCTCTTCTCAACTTAGTGTTAGAAAGTCGCAATATAACATTTACAAGTGTCATTATGACTAAAACTACCACTGCTTATATTGTAAGCTTTGTTAAACAAGATAATATTGTTGTACAACTACTAGAACTACTAGAAATACATGTTAATGCATTCCAAATGATTTCTGTTTGTTCATATGGCTGATTGTACATTTTTGTGTGTCTTTGCTGAGATTAAAACTTCTCATTCATGAATGGAAACTTTTCATAATTGTTTTAGATTTATTGTCTTATATATATATTGTGGGATCATATATTTTTCAGTTTGCTACTGATAAAAGATATATGAAAAATTGTTCCAAGAAAATAATTCATTATTGTAAATTAATTGTATTCAGATGCTTTTTTTTTAAAAACATTAACTCTTGTGTCAAAGTAGCTAGTCTTCTATATATATATTGCATGTTATATATTACATGTGAAGCTGGTGGCTGTCTCTTAGCCTTTGCCACCAGTATAGAGCCAGAGCCTGCCAGAGCATTCTTATAGTCTGTCAAGTTATAACTGATTTACTAACAAAGTAACATTTTTCAAATACAATAGTATTATGTCCTATTTAACTGTCAGTCTGCTCAAAACAACTGATTCTACCCATTGGACCAGTACAGACAAAGATCAGGCCAAAAATCTGTTTTGTCTGATCATGGTTTGCACTGTAGTCTTCATTCTCTGCATATTTTTGAATTTCCCCTAAAATTGATGAATAGTTTGTGTCCAGATTGAAAGAAAGGCAAGTCCATTTAAGATAATTAGCAAGACAAGGGTTAAATAATTAAAAAGTACAATCTGAAGTCATTTTAACTCATAGAGATTCATTTGCTCACTATTGGTGACTAATTTAGAACAGTAAAGAAATGATTTATAAAGATTTGCTGCATTATTTACAGCCTCTGTACATATTTATATAAACATCATCAATGAAATTTATGTATTATTACATGTATTATCATTATATATGAAGCACCAAATTTATTTGTTTTATTTGTGAGCCAGAGAATTGGATGGATGGAAATGTGTGTGATATTTTGTATATGTAAATGTTGTGAGTTATGGCCAAAAATCATTTTTGTTTGCCCCTAAATCTGTACACCCTTAATCATTACTGAATGAATGGTTAAAGAGATAGATTGAATGGTATATCAGCCTCGTCACAACAAAACCAACATAATGGGTTTGCGACCAGCATGGATCCAGACCAGCCTGCGCATCCGTGCAGTCTGATCAGGATCCATGCTGTTAGCTATCATTTTCTCTACTTGTAATAGTGTTTGTAAGCGAACAGCATGGATACTGATCAGACTGCGCAGATGCGCAGGCTTGTCTGGATCCATGCTGGTCGCAAATGCACTATGTTGGTTTTGTCATGGTGCGGCTCATTATGTATTACATAAATTTGAGTTCTCAGAGCTAGAAATATTTTGCATGATTATAGAGTCACATTTTCATATATTGCATAAATAAAAATATGAACACATGAAATATTAGATAAAATTTTAAAGTGAGATATGCATGAACTTTGATTATCAATTTCTTTTACTTATATATGTCTTAAAAGTGTAAGAAAATGCTATTTTAGGCATTGCTCTAATGTATATAACCAATATTAAACAATTTCTTTATATTATTATTTATAAACTTTTTTTCCTGTAAGTTATGTATACTTGTTGATTAATGGTGTTGAGTCTAAGAGTGAGGAGGTCAGTAGATTTTTCACAAGTTCAAGTAAATACATGTATGAAAGAAATTTAATCCTGATACAGTTTCAGACCATAAGAAATGAAGGGAAAAAAAGGATTAAAATAGCCGAGCATCCTGTATTTAGTACACACATTTGTAGAAAGTTATTTTAGTATGTTAGAATATAGGGAGAATCTTATTTTTGCTACTATATTCTCTTGGCTTAATGCTTAACAGATTTATAATTTTTCAAAAGTGAGAGATAATCTTTCTATAGAAGTGAAGGTTCAGAGAAATTATAAGATGAATGTATGTATGCATGTATGTTTGTGTTTAAATCATGATGAAAACAACACTGTTTATGCTGTATTATCAATCAATATAGCATTTGTTGCCGTATGACGTCATTGTTATTTATAAATAAATGATAAGTACAAATTGCATGTTTGTTATTTACCTTTTATCCCATTTCTTCAGCCAGACGGGCCTCTGTTACCGAATGTTTATTTACCTATTACTAGTATCCTATTTCTTTAGCCAGACAGGCCTCTGTTTGTTAATCTATTATAGCATTTCTTTAGCTAGAAGGGCCTCTGTCCGAGTGTTTATTAACCTATTATACCATTTCTTTAGCCAGACGGGCCTCTGAAATCGAGTACTTATTAACCCGTTATCCCTTTTCTTTAGCCAGACAGGCCTCTATTCAATGTTTAATAACCTATTATCCCATTTCCTTAGCCAGACGGGCCTCTGTTACCGAGTGTAAACCAATTTCTTTATCCAGAAGGACCTCTGTCCGAGTGTTTAAGGTCGCCGACTTTCAAATCACTTGCCCCTCACCGCCGTGGACTTTGGAACCTTTTATGTGAGGAAGCACAAGAACTTGAAATTCTATCAATATAAATGATAATATCCAAAATATACCCCCTATACAGTATAAAAAAATTTATACTGTATAGGGGGTATATTTTGGATATTATCGTTAATATTGATAGAATTTCAAGTTCCTGTGGAGGAAGCCATCTCGCGAACTTATGTTGATGGTTCTACTCAAGCGCCTGCTCTTGCCTATAATAATGCAAGGAGCACTCGAGGTCTTCCTCCATCAGTAAAGCTGGAAAGTGGCCCAAAGACCTTGACAGTGTCAGATTGACTTTAAATCCAACAAACTTGAGCCAGATCTCTTATTAAAACATTTAATCACATGTACATTTATAGACAGAGTTAACTTTATACAAGAAAAATTAAGCCAATTGTCACGATAAATAGGTTTTAGTTCAAAAGAGTATATAATTAATCTCATAAATGTATTTTACTCATTGCAACGTATTTTTACAACAAAATGAACAAAAGTATCGTTTTTTGAAAGTATCTTGCATAAAGAACCTACTACTATTAAAGTTAAGGAAAGGAAAATGAATTTGGTGAGAAAAACAAACACAACACTGTTTTTAACAATTATATTATAAATATATGTAACATCATTTCTATTTTTTCTTTTTCTGTAACCGTTTGATATGGTACATAAAATTATTACATGATATATGTAGCATAAAAAAGCGTTTTACCACAAAGGAGCGGTCCAAAGTAAAGGATCTAGTACTTCAGCAAGAGGGTCTCTAAAAACAGGTGGTCGCCATTGTTGAACTGGTGCGTAATCCGCTGGTAATTGATTGTTGTAATTATTATGCGCATTTTGAGTCTGCTGTTTGTTAATAGGGTGCCTGTAGTGTCTAAAGTTTTGTTGTTGCAATAACCTATTGTTATGTGCAGCTTGGATCGCCAGAAGAATGCCTGGTGGAAGTTCTTCTAAACCATTTGATAACCAGTCATTCACTATTTGATTTTCTTGACTGTTAGTATAATTTGTATTCGTCGTCGTACCAGTCAAATGATCTACAATTCTTGCAGTTAGTCTGTTAATCATCGCATCGTCCATGTATCCATTGGCCACCGCAGCATTAGCATCCGGAGCTTGTGTTGGAGGAGCGGTTGAAGTAGTTGTGTGCGGTAAAGTTGTTAGTACAGTAGGGGCTGCTGTTGTTTGAACAGTTGGTGGTCGTGGTGGGGGAGGTCTATTTGTGACTGCAACATGTGCGTGACCTTCAACAACTCCTGGTACATGTCCTGGCTGTCCATGGCTGTGCTGGTCTTGTACAGGATGAGGATGCCAATGTAAGAAGCCAGCTCCTTGGTTAACTGGGTTAATTTCAGTTACAGCAGCATTTGTTTTTATTACTTTTTCATGTTTCACTCCTACGGACAGATCAGTTGTAGCATAGATGTCATTTGCAGGTTGAACAGGTGCGGGGACAAACGGTTGATTAGGAACATGAGCATGTGATGGCTTTGGGTTGTTAGATGAAGGTTTCTTAGTTGATGCATTTGCCGTCATAAAAGGATATGGTGTTGATGTTAAACGAGCCACAAGTGGGTGAGGAGTGTGGGTGTGGTCTGGTATATGACTGTGAGCGTGAATCTCGTGCCGTTTTATGGACTTTTCTAACTCTTGAACCTTTGCTAGTAACCGGTTTATAAGAGAATCGGAGGATTGGCCAGGTGGCGCTGCTGTAAAAGCTACATTTGTAGACTTTGTTGATACTGGGTAAGAAATTGATGACATTGTTGGTGACATTGTTGATGGTATTGTTGGTGGCATTGAAGTCGGTACAGAGAAAGATGTTGGTCTGTATGTGGTTGCCTCGGTAACCGGACTTAGTGTAATATGATTTATTGATGGTTCTGCCTGGCCACCATGATACCTGATTTGGTCCTGTATTGGCTTTAGATTCTGTAAAAAAGGTATTCTCAAAACTATTGAATGACTATCTGCTGAAGTTAACATAAATCGTAATTGAATATTTCACATATTAAGCCAATTAAATGATAAGTTAGACTGCCTCAGATGTTCTTTGTGTTCTATATGTCAACCAGTTGCATACAATAAATAATGTTTTGAACGTACTAGTATATCATTTAAGCATATGCAGTTAATGTATTTTTGACATGTTTTTAATATGATATTTGTTTTACTTACGATGACATCGTATCCATCTGTTGCATTAAACTTGAGTATTTGTGAAGGTTTAAATGTTCCATCCTTCTCCATGTACAAGATAAAAAGTTTACCAATTCTATCTAAATTATCAGTCATAGAAAGAAAGCCTGATGCTCCTGGAATGAAAATATACTAATTCTTCACTTGACATTCATCAACATTCAAAACATATACTTTTCACCCAAACTTTATACTGACGTTCCAAACTACATACACAAAGGGAATTCGCTGGCAATTTTTACTATTTTTTAGTAATGTCTGCCTCTTAATCGTTACTTGTAAAATATGAACTTGCATGAAATGCCATATGCACATTAAACAAGTTTAAAGACAACAAAGCATTCAGTTGAGGATGGGTATTCTTGTTTTGGAAGAAAACCCTGCAACAATAGAATTGTTACAAAAGGAGAACTATAGACAATATTAAGATGGAAATTTGCAGATTCAGAATGGCTGAGACTATATAAGTAAAAATTTGTGAAGCTCCTGAGGTCAATGCTTGGTTGCTTAGTAAAAGACATCGTGGGATACTTTCTGTACAAGTAAGATCCCTTGATTAAGAAGGACAATGCAAAAAAATATATATATATAAAACAACATGAAATACACTTATAAATTTACAAAACATTATATCATATCACTTGATGGGTGCGATATTCATCGAATAATTTAGTAAAGTAAATGCTTCAGTCGATAAGTTCATTAGTTGTATGAGCGAAAGACAACTTAAAATCATATCAAATCACCAAGATTTTCGTTAACACTCATTGCTTAGTACTGATGAGTTCGAACTTACAGCTCTCTTCACTAAAGGATTAAAATAAATTCTGTATAAAAAAAATCTGTATTTTATGGAGAAATTTTATCATATTAATTGTAGATATAGTTTAAGAGTCTCGTTTTAAACAATTTTTCCCCAAAAGTCACATAAGCAAAACTTACCGTCAGCTAAAAAGTGCCGTGCCTCATCCGCAATAAGTTTGCCATCTTTGTGGTTTTTGCCAGCTGTAAATACCTTCTCAACCAGGACAGACCACATCAGCACGGCGTCATATAAGTACAATGAGTAGACATCCGGCTGTAACATTACAGGGATGGTGATTAATAAATATCAAATTGTGTTTGGAATAGGTCAATGCTAGAAATTTATTAACTCAAAATATGTAATTAAAATATATCTAACAATAACGTTAATTTTAGGTACATTGTAAATAAAAAGTTTTCTAATATGTTTGTTTTAAAACAAGTATGAAACGAGTCTGTCTGAATAGTAAAGCTCTATATAAGTTTATAAAAGCATATAAAATAAAGAAATACACATCATTTTACAGACAAAATCTACAGGTTGGGGTCTCATTCCTTAAGCGTTGCTCTCCAGTGTTACAGGAGTCTTTACTTTCATATTTTATATCGAACCAACTTCCAATTCCATTTTATAATTTACATTTGAAACTAAATTTGCTGTAGGTCACGTGGGTTCAAAAGTGGGAAGCTGTTGTTTCCATGAACAAGAAACTTTACACTCATTGCTCAGTATCGGTTAGTTCCAGGAATGGATTCGGTAGTGTTTCAATAAGCTTCTAGCTTCCAGCACAATCGAAGTAAAATAAATTAGTATAAACTAAACTAAACTATAGCAATTTTCCGAAAGGTGTTAATGTATTTATGGGTGCCACTGTACAAAATGTATGATTGAATAAGCATTTCTAGCGATCTTTCTTTGTATATTTTTTACATTAACAGACCAGTCAAGTCAATATGAAATACGATACTTCAATGTTGCTCAACTTCATCACCAGTATACATTATGTCTGAAGGAATACTGACCTGTCCACTAGGTGGGAGTGTCCAGCCGGGGATCTTTATGTTTGAACCTCCGGCAGCCATACGGACAAACTCACCATGTCGGTTGCGTGGCAACGCATGTGTTGGTACAGCGTCATCATTCATAGGGTCTCGCAGAATCTGTAATGTTCATATATTATATTTTGCAACATCCTCAGATTGCGTCTAAAAGAAGACATGTGTAATAGAACTCAAATTTATTGTACACATAGTGTTATTCGACTTGAATTGTTAAACAGTTTTGATGTCAATGACCCTCCTAATAATAAAGTGATATTAATAAATGAAAAATGGCTGTCTGGTAATGATTCATATATCTGTAGAATATCATGACCGACTTTGCAGTCAACAGATTTAACTAGCGTTTCCCTTAATTCATTGCAGTTAACTCTGAAAAAAATGACGTATTTATAACGTGTTCAGATGACATTTTTATCAATCTTTAATTTTGTTCAGCTTATTTCGGAAATTAATACAATAATTGACTAGCTGTCTACCTAAAAAGTTGGTCGCTTTAAGAAACTGGATCGTTACTTACATGTATTAATGACTGATAAGCCCGTTTGGCTACTTGATCTTTAGCATCTCCTCTCATCCATCGCTGATTTGAAAGGACCGCTGATTCTAATGTCTTCTCTGAATACGACTAGAAAGAAAATGACATGATAATAGTTAAATATATTTATGATTATAATGAAGAGCGTAGTAAGATATAAACAGTTTGTTTACCAGATTTTTTTCACTGTCATAGACAGATTGCAGGAACACTGCCTGCGTTATCTTCAACTAAGAATTCGGCTTTGACACTAGACGAATCAGTATTAATGAATGGTGTAAAACAAGCAGGTATATCATTACTTATTCAAAATTGTTTATATTTTACGAGAAGTCTCGATATATGTAAACTTTATTTTAGACCAATAACTACAAGACTTCGGCATTCATGACACTATTCATTGCCGGTTTTACGACATTATAGTGTCTATAATTATTCCATTGAAAGCATCTTAAAGCATAATAAAGAACTGGAAAGTTCAAAATTTAATATTTTACCTGATGATCAAGCTGTATAAAGACATGGTTACCAAATGCCATTCCCGCCTGTTCGGCTGCCAACATGTAACGTCTTAAATCTGTCCAAGGACAGGCGAATACGACAACTAGGGTAGATAAATCATCTTAGTATTATACAAGAATTATAGGAAGAAATGATTAAATACTAGTATATTGAAATCAAATTTTGTTCTGAACCAAGCAATTAAATTTTGTTACTAAACTTTGCCATGAAATTTTGTAATCAATAAAACGTTGATATTTAACTTTGCAATGTGTTGTGAACAGTTGGTTTGGACGCTGTAGTTGTTGAAATCAAACTTTGAATAAGCAGATGTTGCAATGTCTATCCAGTTTTTCTGGTTATCGTTGTTATTGCATTGTTTTTATTTCATTTGTTCTGTTTTGTTTTGGTTATACTGATTTGTTTCCATAATTTTGATTATTTGGAGATGTGCATGCAGTGAGTTAATAAGTATGCAAAACATAAAACTTATACAGGACTTATGTGGACCAACTCAAATATATATTCTTATGTGTGCTGGCCAGAGCTATAAAAATATAAAAGAATTATTTTTAAAAAAAAGAGAGAATGCATGCCTATACATATATTTACTTACTCCATGAATATGTCTTTATATGTTTAAATAATTTGACAAGATCAGAATCTGAGATTGTTGAATTGACACCATGCGAGCTAATCATGTTCACCTCTGCGGTTGCCATGGTGTCGCGAACTGCATCCTCATATAGCGTCCATGGTCTGCTATCGTCATAGATCAGGACAAACTTGCTCCATTTGTTCTGACGTAACAGGTGTAGCAATGACGTACCTGTTGACAATTTATCAATATAAATGAGTTATATGTTTACAGTAGTATTTTAGAAATACCAATAGCTTACGATTCATTATGCACAGTAAGCTGAAGGGAGATAATTTATTTAAATTATATGGTTTAGTAATCAAGGGAAATAATAACGCCAAGTCGGCAGCATATTGTAGTATAATAAATTATCATGTTTGAAATGTGACTTCCGTGTTCATTTAAGACAGAATAAATAAAATGAAACCATAAAGGTCGCCCGATCAAGCAAAAATAAAAATGTCGCACGCTTGATGTGATTAGAGCAATAAAATATATATCCTCACCCCTATTTAAACATGAAAATGGTGATTAATATTTTGCAATATCCTCAGATTGCATCCAAAAAGACATGCGAAATAAAACTCAAATTTAATGTATACATAGTGATGTTCTTTTCGAATTGTCGTTTGTTTTGATAAACAGTTTTGATGTCAAAGATCCTCCTAATTTAATTATAACTTCCTCCTTTGATTAATTAGTTTTAATTTCAACGATAAACTCATATTAAATGATGGAATTGATGTTTGACATACATTAAACAAAGCTCGTGAACCACTTAGGTAAATTAACATTCATACCTAATTCTTTACCTGGAGCACTGTTCTCGCCTCCGCAGTTAATAACGTTAAATGGCTAGTATAGATTCAATCAAAATAGTGAAAGGGAAACGTAATTTACGTATATGTTTATTTCCTTAACTTTCATTATTATCATATTATTATTATCCTACTAGTCGATCTACGTTTCCTTAATTAAACCGGGAGATATTTTAACTAAGATCTCTTCTTTCTCACTTTTTCAAGAATTCATTTAATTTCATGATTATTTTTTATTATTATCATGTTCCTAAATAAAAAAAAGTAATTGCGTCTAATAACATAGGCTAAAAGTAAGAATATCTGCATTGTGTTCAATAACGAACACTGTTTAATCATTCTAATTAATTGATATCACCTTATTTCTAAGACAATTGCATCACATTTGCAAATTTTATTAACACATAGCCTTTAATCTTTTAAAATTACATTCAATAAATAATACACGAAAATATTAAATGGTTTAATAAATGCCCTGTTTAATTAAGTAATTAATTATTATTTTTTCTTGGTTGTAGATTCCTATACATTTTGTTCCGTGTACTAAAGAGAGGACGGTTTGAGAGATATTGCAACCAAACAGACTAAATCGAAATGTGTTTTTTTACTCTCTCTAGTTTCAATATTTTATATACAATATCTCAAAGGGCTTAGTGAAATTCAGTCAATAAAATTGAGGTGATAGTCAATTTAAATGAGTGTTTAACGTTTCAAAGCAATTTCGTTGTAATCAAATGGTTTACAGATCTAAGAATTCTAAAATGGGTATAGATATGTCTTTTTCGAATAAAATAAGTTTATTTTTCTGTTAAGTTTATGTTTAGTTACTTACTCATTGCGCTCAGTGAGGGATACATCCGGATCAATGTTGGGAAAGTCTGGGCATTATCAAACTCTATACTGGGTGTGTACCACGAAAATACTGGTAAATTCCAATAAGCACACAGTTGCGCGACCATTCGCATTCCTAAAATAAGAGGTAGTTTGTAAATGACATATCCTTAAAGAAAGTTCTTAAATGATCTTAACAGACTGAGTGTAATAGTAATTAACTGGGTAATAATAAAGAATATTCATCCTTGTGGGATAACTCGTTTAATTGAAGTACTGCTACCCAAAACTATTTATTTCTTAAATTTGTGTATCATAATAATTGTATTCTATGGTGCTTTGCTATGCCAAAAGGTGTCAAGAAAGTATTCAATATTAATCACATTATCGTAACATTTCCTTTCCTTGTCAGTTGGCATTCAAAACATTTAGCAGTTGGCATAAATGTACAACATGTATATAACGTACACTCAATAACTAATGTATATTTAATACGAAAAAATACTAGTATTTTTCAAGTCGGTGCATAAAAAGTAAACTTTGGTTTATATAATATAATAAGAAATAGTAATTAGTATAAACTGGCCTTCTTGACAAATTTAGTTTACTTATAAAATAAGAAATAGTAATTAGTATAAACTGGCCTTCTTGACATGGGGGTCCAATGATAACGTCCGGGTTGTATGCTTTTGCCTTCAAGGCAGCCTGCATTGTCGTCTGCAAGGAACAGTCTGTAGGAAAAAATTCTACCCTGTAAAATATAAAATATTGTCCTTAGTACAATATATAATATAGCATTTTAGACATTGGATACATTTATGGTCATTTTTTATACAAACAGTTAAAAAAGCAGCAGCAACCTGGAAATTCGTCTATCAAGGCTAAATTGAAAACGTCGTAGGCTCTGCTCATTTCAGCTTGTCATAAATGACATTGGTTAATGCATGCTGCTTTCCATACTCTTTAGCACCGGCCGTAGGAACTCAATTAAAACGAAACAAAACATTTTCGCGATCCAAAATTTAGAGGAATGCATTTTGACCTCTAGACCAGTGCTCCATGTTTCATATTTTAGTACAAGTAGTTAGAAAACGGGAGGAAACAGATATCTAACAATGTATTGTTTCATCAAAATTTAACATTGGTCAGAAATAGCCATTCACAATGCAAGGAAATAATATAAACGTAATATAACAGACATTCATTTGGCATTTTGCGAGTTTTCAACAATTGATTGCAGTAATTAACATACACAAATAATTGATGGAAATATTCGAGAAAACGCCTAATAAATAGCGTTGTCTAGCCGGGTGTGGTTAACGTCTTGGCTAAAACCTTTATTTGCATAAGGACAATGCTCTATTTATTTGTTGTTTTGTAAACGACATTTCCGTCTGTAGTATATTTACTTTGTATTCTTTACATTGGAAGTTACATAAAGAAAAACATTTTCCATTTGTTTTGTTTTTCTGATAGAACAAAATAATATAGATAAGAACGGAATACCTAAAGAACGCCCAAAACGGCAACAATGAAATTTTTTCGATTGAGCCTGTTCATGGACGTTAGTGGTAACTACCTGCTACCGCCCACACCCTTTAGCACCGTCTTAAGCAGAATTCAACAATTAAACACGGTAATGGTGAAATTTTTAATTTTATAAACATCCGCAAATGTGTTCTGGACAAACCTGCAAAAATGATTTCTTGGCAGCAATGAGAAAACTGCGAAAATTCACAAACATTAATTTCGTTTCAATTCTAATGTCTGAAGGATGAAAGATTGCTCAGGCCGGTGGTATGGTGCATGAGAGATTTTCTAACATGATTTGAATTAATAAACCAATCACTGCAATTTTCAACCATTTGCATTGCTACAAGGGATCTTCCATTGTCCAGAATTTCTTACTTAGGCTCAGTACTAAAAGCAACACAGTCCATCTTCCGGAGCACAGGTTGAAACAGTATAATGTATTGCTTCTGAACGTTGGAGATATATATACTTCATTTCAATTCCTACCAACAAAATGTTGTAGTTTTTGTATTTTCTGATCGCAAGATCAGTAAATACAAAGCTAACATCCACGGTCTAACACAAAATTTCCTCACAGACCTAATAACGCAAAGTAGTTCTCACTCAAAACTGCTTAAAAACCAGCAATTTAAAAGAAAGACTCATTTTTAATGTAGGCATTTAACGAATTACAGTGCATTAAAAGTTTAGATTAGTCAATAGAAATATGAGGTTACAATCACAAATTTCGCGGATGAATATCTTTTTTACCCAATGAAAAATGTTCGACTATTTCCGTAAAGCTTAATCAATGAAAAGCTATTTTAGCTATGTCGATTACCGAATACTCCAGAGCGTAGTACACAAATAAATCTGACTGTCGAGCAATGGAATATATACATGTCGGACTGTTTTGGCGAGAAGATTTTCGCTTAATTATTTTCATCCGTGTTTAACAACAGGTTTATCGTGAACAAAATACCTCGAAATTAATAAGGATTACAAACACGAAATGGAAATTCTCAATTTTTGAATTACAATGTATTTGTTTTTATTCAAGCTACATACGTATTACTTCACTGTGGTGCAGAGGTAGCGCGCTCGTTTAGAGTGTTAGAGGCCTAAGGTTCAAATCCTAGTCGAGGCAACATTTTTTTGAAGTGTCTTTTTTCAGGAAGTAGCCACGATATGCAAGGATAAATGTGGTTGTCATAAAAAAATGAAAAATGATTTTTTGATGCAACTCTAGGCATTTGATTTTTAATGTAAACGTTGTATGTTACAATATAACACTAGTACATCAAACGCAACTAAGTTATTATCCTTAAACAATCGGGCATATTCTAATGCATCTCTTGTTTTCTTTATCCCATTTTTTAATGTTTATCTGTCATACTAAATTTATACGATATGTTAAAATGCAGCAAAACAGTTGATTATCATGAAAACACATCTCTTTTGTTATTTTACTAATAAAATCAATTGATTAATATATACGAAGGTAACGGTAGGCATCTCTAGATAATCTAAAAATGTAATTATAATAAAATTTAAAGTGACTTGGTCTATCACGGAAGGTCTCTAAAGCATTTATTTTCAGACAAAAAACAAACCACGAAAGAAGTATATATGGAAATTTTTGGCAATTGAAGACTCATGACACAATATATAGCAGATTATAAAATATTCTAGAACAAAATATTAATTAATATTTAGCACATAAATGTTCATTGTAAGTCACTTAAAATCATATCAGCGTTTCGTTTTCTAACAACTTTTTATAAGAATATCCAAATGATATATTTCTACCTTTTTTATCAATGTTTGAAAAAGAAGTATGGAAAATGTTCCCATTGTTGACCAATCCACTGTTATCTATACATGCATTTCGGTGCTTTTTTCTATCATATATTGTTGGTAAATACGAGTATCATTTGCTGACCTCATTTTAAGTCTGTCAACTGTACTATCGTAGGCAATACATCTGATGAACATTTAAGGGGACAAACTTTTTTGGAATGGAAAAGTATGACCATTATTCAAATATTCGTTGTATCTACTTAATCAAATATCAATTTGATATAATATATGTCATTGTCAAAATATTAGAGCGATCATATCAAAATTTATTTAAAGGTATGTTTATATCAAACATATTTAAGTTAACACAAATGAATATCTATTCCACTTCTATACACTACTTTGTTAATACACTAAAAATAAAACTGTAAGTCTAAAATACACATTACTTAAACATGTATTGCTTATTTTTATTGAAATCATTTATTTCTTATTCCTACAAAGGACCTTGCTTTGTTTCTTATAAGCCAATCATTTGATATTTTGTTGTGTTTATCGTAAAATGTATATCATAAAACGACAATAAAGAATATCAGTCACTTCCCCCATTATTCATACACCGATATTTGGCGGAAATAGCCGAAAAGTTCCGATTGGCTTTTCGACTTCGCCCAGTCATAATTTGCGAACATTAATCACGCATCTATTTCAATGCGTTGTACTTATTAGCATTTTTATTTTGAAGCACTAGTATACTGGTCGTTTCAAAAATAAACATTACGAAGCAAAATCGGTGAAAAGGTTATGTTAGTCAATTTTCAAGACTTTATTACTGATGAATTTAACATTTCCATAATTGTTACGTGTCTTCGTTAAAATTTTGACATTTATTCTTAGAACATGCATACAAAGTCACACAATTAAATAATAAAACTGTCCATCGGTAGTTTTATTGTTATTTAAATGATTTCGTGCTGGGATGACGGAAATTTCTTTTTTTAAGTATGTAAAAAGTATGACTCTATTTTAAGAGAAAGGTTATCATATTAATCTATATTGTCATCAATCATCCAACAATTAATGTGCAGAAACAAACATATCAAGGTTGTTTATTTAGAGGCCTGAATCAGTGAATCATATTGCAAATTGCAATATCATGGCATTAATTTCCACTATAGCAGTGCAAGTAAAAAAAGACCTCATTGCACTAAGAAATAAAATTTATACAATACGACAAATAAAAACAATGTAGCTCAATTTAAGTACAAAATGATTTAACATCATTAAATATATTGCATTAATATGCATTATTCAAGTTTTGATAGACGACATATTTTTCATATGAAGTAGCTGAAATAAATGATATAGTTTTACAAACAGAGGAAGCTACTTTCTTTAAATACTTGAAGTAAAGTTTTAATCTTATATAATGATTGTTTTCATGCCATTATATCATGATAATATTATTTTGTAATACTGCACGTTTTTAACGTCGTTTTTCATTGGATAATCGTGACGTTTATACAATCTATATACTCGGCTGCAGTCGATTTATGAATAAAGTTTTATTTTTTTTCTGCAATGAAGGAAGTTTGCATTATCATAAAAATTCCTTATAAAGATTCTTAACATGTTATATGGGCGTATATAAACGGTTATTTGAAATATAACCCCGGTTGTAAATACAAACAACCGTTTATATAGAGCCATATAACCTGTCATGATAATATAACTTTTATCTTCTGCGTTGTTTGTACTGCAACTATGGCAAAACAAATAAATTCTTTATACTTGTTTTCGAGTAGTTCTTCCTCAAACAGTAAGCGATAATCTCTTCTTTTTTAATCTTAGTTAGAAAATCTAAGTAGACAAAAATCATGCCTAAATCAAACTTAAATCGGAATTGTTTGCGATCTGAAATTCATTTAAAACTTACTTGCTATAACACCTGTACTCATTTTGCAATAAACCGAATTTTTCATCATGGAATTTACAATAATTGTACAATATTTTTTATAAAAAAATTCAGTGTTTGTTTTGTTGTTGTTTTTGTTGTTGTTGTTGTTATTATCATCATCATCATCATCATCATCATCATCATCATCGTTGTCATTATCATCATCATCATCTTCATCATCATCATTATTATTATTATTATTATTATTATTATTATTATTATTATAACTTGCTTTTTTAATTCGTCATAATCATCATGTATGTGATTTGACTACAAAAAATGTATTAAATTAAACATAATTAACGTAAATCATATACATTTTTAAACTCTTTGTTCACTATTTAAAACCAGGGTCTATCAAACAGAAATTTAAAAGACCCTATTAAAACAAGGGAAAATAAAATATCAAAATATAAATTACTCAATGCTGTGTCCTTTAAGAATCATTGGATTTGTGACCACTGTCGCCAACGCTAACTTTAAGGCAGCAACGCTGGTATAACTGTTTATTTCTTCTCCCGAAGTTTGATCCGGCGCAATCCATGCTATACGGAACACTTTACAATTACACGAGCACAACGTGCAACATAATATTATCAGTTTTATCCATAAGCGCATTGCAGATGACGTTGATGTGATTTTATTCCAAGACATCATCGTATTGATTTTAACACAGTTACAATAATTGTCACATTGATAATGAAACACTGTTGTTTTTGTTTTGTTTTAGTCTAGTTGCTAGAACAAGTTAAAGCCGGTATTATCATGGACCCCTTTCTTATTCAAACTGCAGTCTGGTTTTAATTCTACCATTGTATATTCTCTATAAATTACGTCAACATTAGGTTATTTTAATCCATCAAAAAGAAATTGATAATATATGACATTTTATGACACCTGTAGCCAACCTGAGCGATCCGTTATTTGTAAAACTGACAACTGAAATATTAGTGTTTCACATAAGCGGCATACACAAAAAGAATGACTGTATAAGGTATAAATTAACAATTGACCGCGTATTTGTTCTAAATACAATAAATATGTATTTATCATCTTTCCATAAATAAGTCTATTTCTATTGGTCAATTTCAAAACATTAACATATTTATAATATGTAATAGTTATTGTGTTCATATGTTTGATTTAAAATATGTAAACGCACAATAAATGTTTATCAGAGCTGTTACGTCAATTACGTTCATGTTGAGAATATGACCTCATATTTTGACGCTGTGTCCTCGTGCTAATTAGTAATTATTAACATTATAAACATTGATAGCTTATTTAGACCTATAGATACACTTATGTATGGTCATTAATAGATAAAGGTTATGTAAACTTAGCGAGTAAATGAGCTGAAAGCAACAATCGACCAATCATTAAACCCGGCTAACAGAGATGCATTGTGAGTAAAACTTATTCAATCTGGCATAAGTTATAAAGTGACCACAGCATAACGAAATGTATTTATAATGATGTCTAATCATGTGTTAAGATATCTAGTACTATGCAGTTGTTCGAATTTTTCGATGTATCGATTGGTTTAAAGCAAGGAGAGCCATTATCTCCCTTGCTATTTAATCTCTCGTAATATCAATACTTTAACTGATTTAAGATTTAGAACTTCTTTAAGGCCCTGTCACACTAGACTGCGCTTTTACTGCGTTTGCACGGCGTTGTTAAATTTAGCAAAGCGCCGCGACATCGCAAGAAAAATCTGATATTTTTGATGACATGGAGACTTCACGGCGTCTTTACGGCGATCATGGCGTTGCTACGGAGCTTCCACAGCGTTAAAACGCGTTCCTACGGCGTTTTAATTGGCGATTGTCTGCGTTCGGACTGCGCTTCTACTGCGTTTTATGCGCTTCCACTGCGCTTTCACAGCGCTTACACGGCGCTCTCGCGGCGTTCACACTGCGCTTAAATCATACTACATATACCAGCGTTAACTGATTCTGAATAGTCATGTACCTGCTACAACTGCATTCTTGCTGTCGTTCATCATCCATGATTAAAAGGAAATTAACTTGCAAACACGTTTCATATATACAGTGGAACCCCACCAAAAATAAAATCACAGTGATCTTAATTGCGGATGGTCCTTATTATGGACATACATGTAATTATCGAGGCATATATTTCATGACCACCCTTTTTGAATTTTATGTGTTAAATGTTAAAACAATTATATTATAACCTTCATATTTTTTTATATTGATATAAACTGAATATAATTCACCTTTTTATTAAAAAAATAATTTTTCACAAAATAAAGTTGCAGAAAATAACATTAAACCACTCTGAAGTTTATTTTCTTACCTTTATTCAATTTTCTAATCATATCAGTTGTAACACCTTATTTCATCAAAGTGTCATGCTTTAGAGAATTCAAGCAGATGAATAACAATAAACTTGTGATCTGAACAGGTACTGACTGGAATATCAGTAGTCACAGAGTGGGGTCAGATAAATAAGACAATGAATTGGAAGTGAAACTGGCGGACTTAAAAGTGGATAAATGTGGTGGTCTTAATATTGGATCTTGATACCATTAACATAAAGAACAGAAAATTCCGTTCTTTTAAAAATTGGTCTAAATGCAGGGGTGATCTTTATTCCGGAGTGGTATTAAGTAATGATTTTACTGTGCTGTAGATGAACGCAGTAGAATCGCCTTGAGAGCGCAATGGTCGCCGTGACAGTGCCGTAAAGTCGCAGTAAGAGCGTTTTAGAAAAATAAAGCTCCGTAAAAGCGCCGTACACACGCAGTATAAGCGCGGTAGAGACGCCGCACAATCTCCGTACAAGCGCCGTGGCTAACCACGGCGTTCATTCGGCGATCCTTCTGCGCTTTCACGGCGCTCCTGTTGCGTTGTAGGAGATGCTACTGAGTTGCTACGGCGTCCTTACTGCGATCCCACTGCGCTCTTATCAGAACGCCGAGTGACGGCGTTTGTTTTGAGCATGCTCAAAATGCGCGCCGTCGGTCGGCGTTCTATGCGACCCCACTGCGATGCTGCGGCGATGTTTGCGATCTTACTGCGCTTACTCCGGCGTTCTGAATTTTCGTTGGACGCCGTGAGAACGCCGCCTTAGTGTGACAGGGGTTTTAGGTTTAAATTTGAAGACTATTTTAATATAATTGGAAACGACATTCTTAGAAGCTTCTAACCTCGCTTTAGATTAAACTTACACAATTTAGAAGTTAAAACTGTCGTTATAATGGTAAAGTTAGAGAAAACCGATTATGTAAATTATGCAACGAAAATGTATTTGAAAATGAATATCATTTAATAGACACCTTAGAACAAAACAACATGGTAATGTGTCTTGACCAAGTGAGAAGATTTTTAATAGATATATGACAACTAATAGCAAGAAGAAAAAAATCAAGAAAAAATACATATTATTGCCAAATACATTAAATACGCATTTACGTTGAGAAACAGGACCCTTGAAAACATTAAGTACTATTTCTTAAATATTCGAAATAATTATTATAAAACTTTATGATATTTGTATGTTTTTATATATTTTATATAGGTCTGTCTTTGTCATATATGTTTATGTGAATATGGCCATATGCATTTCGCAATACGATAGCTAATAAATTGTTAAACCTTGGTTTTTCAACAGAAATGTACCAAAAATGCGATCTAAAAAAGAAACAAATGGGGTTTTATTCAAATGACTTGAGATGGTTATTAGATACAAAAGCATGGTATTTCATCATATCGTCTTGGTGACGAATCGTTTATACTAATACCTCTGATGGTATAATTTTTAGCACGTAATGGTATTTTTACATACGAGACAGACAAAGTGTGGTTGGGAAACCTTTAACTGAATAGTACAAAAAGTTCAAGCTTGGTTAACTGTAGTGTCTTTATACCTGGAGAATGCACAGATGAAGTCTAGTTATATAACATTTAAATATTACAATATTACATTTATTTTTATTTTGTCCTACGAATAATGTGTTGGAGAGTTATAATCTATATCTTCCGCGTTGCTATGAATAAGCGCAGTGTATAAATGTCTTTAAAAAGTAATACATGTATTGCTAAACACCTTTAAAACCTTAATATTGGGAAGGAATCCTCTCCATGATTTTAAGATTAGATTAGCAAATTTTCATAGAAAAGGCCGCGATTAATTGCAATAATTTGACATTCTCTGTTAGAATTCTCCGATAAAAAGGACATCATATTCATGTTTTCATTAATAAACATGCGCTACCACTCTATGACAGTTTCATCAAAATATGAATTATTTATTATTTCCTTAATTATTGTACTTTAAGCAGTATTCGTGATTTAAGCCTAAGCTTTGTTTTGTTTCTTTAAGCATGTATGAATGTGCTTATAAAAACCTGCGATTATTTGTTAGCCTGAATGTCTCACGAATATATTACAATTCATTCTTTTCTTGATATTCACTTTGAAGAGTCATCGAATAATATAAGAATTTTAGAAAGGAAGAAATAATCAAGAGCAATAAAAACAAAAACAAATTGTTGGAACTCGCAGATTCTCTTTTATTAAGTCTTGCTATTAAAGATAATGACAAGTGCAACATCTCTCTGCCTCCCCTTCCCGACCCCCGGCACCGGCTTATGCGTATTCAATCCTCATAACTTTAAAATGTTAAAATCAAGAATCCAGAGAAAATATTTCTAACTCCACAAGAACGATTCGTAATATTTTGCAATAAAGAAACGAAATAAGTAGGTCAATATGATATGATTAATGAAACAAGAACTGTCGGAGGACAGTAACGCTCGACTATTCGAAAAAAGTTGTCACAAGGGTGTTTCATTGAGTATACTAATGCTAATTTATATGAATACATAAAATTGTCCGAAAAGGTACAAAGGCTTGTTATTAAGATGTTTTATCGAGTAAATCACTGCTTTATTATTATGAATGCATAAAATACTCCAAAAAAGGCACAAACCTTTCAGTAGGAGATACCAGCTTTCAAACAAAACCTTTACCAAGAATTTCTAAGCCGGAAAAATGGCATAATTATGAAAAAGAAAGCAAATCAAGAGTTATGGGACTTGTGCCAATCATGTAAGATAATCACAGAGAACTAGTGTGTGAAGTTTCAATCCATTCCCTTCAGTAGTTATGGAGATACCAACCTACACGCAAAACCTTAACCAAGAATTTCTCAGTCGCAAAAGGGACATAATAATGCAAAGAAGCAAATAAGAGTAATGGGACTTGTGCCAATCATGTAAGATAATCACAGAAAACAAGTGTGTGAAGTTTCAATCCATTCCCTTCAGTAGTTATGGAAATTCCAGCTTACACGCAAAAACTTAACCAAGAATTTCTAAGTCGAAAAAAGGGCATAATTATTCAAAAAAGCAAATAAGAGTTATGGGACTTGTGCCAATCATGTTAGATAATCACAGAGAACAAGAGTGTGAAGTTTAAATTCATTCCCTTCAGTAGTTATGGAGATACTAGCTTACACCAAGAATGTCTAAGTCGAAAAAGGGGCATAATTATGCAAAAAAGCAAATAAGAGTTATTGGACTTGTGCCAATCATGTTAGATAATCACAGAGAACAAGAGTGTGAAGTTTCAATTCATTCCCTTCAGTAGTTATGGAGATACTTGCTTACACCAAGAATGTCTAAGTCGAAAAGGGGGCATAATAATGCAAAGAAGCAAATAAGAGTTATGGGACTTGTGCCAATCATGTTAGATAATCACAGAGAACAAGAGTGTGAAGTTTCAATCCATTCCCTTCAGTAGTTATGGAAATACCAGCTTACACGCAAAAACTTAACCAAGAATTTCTAAGTCGAAAAAAGGGCATAATTATGCAAAAAAGCAAATAAGAGTTATGGGACTTGTGCCAATCATGTTAGATAATCACAGAGAACAAGAGTGTAAAGTTTAAATTCATTCCCTTCAGAAGTTATGGAGATACTTGCTTACACCAAGAATGTCTA